TGCAGCGATTGATTCCTGTAAATTACGGTACTATAACTAAAAATTATTCTACTAAAAATTTATATAAAATTTACTTTATTTTCTAATATGTAACATTCTAATATGTTAAACTTTTTGTAATTTTCGTAATCCATCTTAAAAAACAGGATTTTTAATTTGACACTTCAGAAAATTTTTGAATACAAACAAATGTTGCTATGTTTGTTTGAATTAAAAAAATATATATGAGCGCCATCTATCATAATTCACACATAATATTAAGTCATTTAATAACAATATTAAATATTAATAAAAAATGTGAAATAATGCAATCTATTCCAACTTTTGTGTAAAACAAATATAAATTAAATAATTCAACAAGTGTTTTTGTTTCAAATATCAGAAATATGTTTTTTTTAATTTTTAGTTGTAATTTACAGGAAACTGCAAATTTAATTTCTTTGACGACACTAAAAAAAAAGTTTTTCATTTCTTCCTAATTATTGTTTGTATCAAAATATTTTTCAAATAAAACTTGTTAAGAATTAGAAAAGAACCAACTTTCGTTGGAACAATTTTTTAAAATTATTTACTGTAAAATTAATTACAGTTTTTATTTTAATTTTTTATTATAATTAGGGCTGGAATAAAAATGCGAGATCAATGTTCGATCATATTTAAACAAGCCCGCGAAGAACTCGAAAACGCGGGGCTTTTAGATGAAACGAAATCGTCGAAATCACCGATAATCGAGGAGATAACTCCGGCGGATATCGACAAAGAATTTGAGTCACTCCAAGGAAAAACCGGACAAGATATAATTTCGAAATTGGAGAATTTACTGGGGAGAAGCCACGGATTAAAACATGGAACTTCGCGGATTAAACGCGTTAAATTAATAAAAGCCGAGTTATTGAAAGCGCGGAGAGCTCTCATTGACAATAATAGTTCGCAATCGGATGATGTTGAGTTAGAATTGAATACAAATAAGATAAATAAGAACGTCGGGTCCCCCCAAAGTCATGGGGGATCCCCAACGGGGATTAATCGGAGAAACGCGGTTCTTTTCACGAAGAAGGCGGCCCAAGCTGCGTTTAAGAAACCTGAGGAGGAGAAAGATGAAGTTATAAGCCCAAAAATGTAATTATTTCATTTAAAATGTTTAAAATTAAACTAATTAAGATAATTTTTAGGAAAAAAAAGGGTAGGCCCCGCAGGGTTCAAGAACCAACATTAATTGAGCCCAATGTAACAATATCAGAGAACGTCCCCGATAGTTTTCGCGTTTACCGCCCGGGGCATCAACCATCCGACGACGAATTCGACTCAGATACAAGTACAAGCCTCTCAACTTGTTACTCACACGATTTATCCGAAATTGAATCAGACGAAGAAGACGATGAAAACGATTCCGATGCGTCATCAACGAGTAATAACCAAGCCGCAACCTCCAAGTTATCCGAATTAAAACCTTTACAATTAGTTTGGGCGAAATGCCGCGGATATCCTTGGTACCCCGCTTTGATTATTGACCCGGAAATGCCGAGTGGATACATTCACAATGGAGTCCCAATTCCTTCACCCCCTCACGATGTTTTAGCTTTAAAGGCGAGTCATAACGAACAAGTTTATTTGGTGTTATTCTTCGATGCGAAACGGACGTGGCAGTGGCTTCCCGTTGAGAAATTAGAGATTTTGGGGTTGGATACGGAAAGGGATGAGGCGAAAGTGAATGAGCCAAGGAAGGCTACCGATCGAAAAGCGGTTAAGAAAGCTTACGAACACGCTTTGCAGTATCAAACGGATACTCAATCGATGGACGTTGATGCGAATTAATTTATAATAATAAAAATTTAAAGGTTATGTCAAACGTCATTTTGACAAGTAAATATTGACGTTTATATAAAATTATGATTTTCGTTTTTAATTTTAATGATTTTGATTAAATAAATTAATTTTGATTAAATTTCTTTTAATTCAACTCATTTAAACATAAATTTAAAAATGAAATAAAATTTTTGTCCAAAACGAAACGAACTTTGAGGTTATGTCACTGTTCTTGTTGTCATAAAATCTTTAACCTTTTCAGAATGGATTATTAACGAAAAGATTGATTTAAAAAGATGGAAATTGCTATTGAAAGCATTATAAGAAGGTATTTATTAACGCATATCCTAAATTAATTGCATATTTAAAATAAAAATCATAAAAAATTTCGAGGTTATGTCAAACGTCACTTTGACTCATAAATATTGACGTTTAAATAAAATATTATGATTTTTAAATGATTTTCCTTTTTAATTTTAATTATTTCATTAAAAAAATTAATTTTTATTACATTTCTTTTAGTTCACACCAATTAGACATTAATGTAAGAATGTAATAAAATTTTCGTCTAAAACGAAACGAACTTTGAGGTTATGTCACTGTTCTTTGGTTCTTGTTGTCATAAAATCTTTAACCTTTTCAGAATGGATTATTAACGAAAAGATTGATTTAAAAAGATGGAAATTGATATTGAAAGCATTATAAGAAGGTATTTATTAACGCATATCCTAAATTAATTGCATATTTAAAATAAAAATCATAAAAAAAAATCAAACGTCACTTTGACAAATAAATATTTTAATTATTTCTTTAATAAACATTATTTTTGAATTATTTATTAATAAAAGCGTTATTTACGCACCTCCGATATCGTTTTGCATTAATTTGAGATTGATTTACAATAACAATTAGAAAGAGTCTTCAGAGATACCTCTTGGAACTTCCGAGAGCTAAATTTCATCTTTCGATACATCTAAATTAAGCATTAATTCGTGTTTTTCTGATATATTCTCTAAATTAAGCTTAAATAAGTAATCTAAAATGTATATGTAATATAAAACGTATTGAACGGAAGAGAATGTTATATGAATAATAATATTAATAAATTTATTTTTGTAATACAAAATATTATTTACCGATGAATTCAGTTATGTATTATTGGCCGTTGATGTTTTCTATTGTATATAATCCATGTAAAGTCGATACGAAGTAATTTTAAAGACCCCCTTGACAGATAGATAACCTCAATTTGATTTTTTTCTCAATTTCTTATTTAAATCCTTATTTATCCGGTTAAATCTATCGATAATGATAATCTTAGCATAATAAGAATGGAAAATAGCCGTCGTTTGTGTGAATTAATGAAATTTTAGATGAAAATTCATAATCTCTTCAATAATTTTGCTGTTGAATATAGAACAAAGTGATCAGATATCTGAAAAACAAATTAAAAAAGCATTAAAACTACAAGATTTCATACATAAATATAGTTATTAAACAAAAAAAATTAAATAATTAATCAAATTAAATTAGTGACATTTCAAATGTTAAGGTTGGTAACATCGGAAAATTTTAAAAACGAATTTCAAGTTAATGGAATTGACCAATCAGGAAACGCTATTTTTCAATTTCAACATTAAACAAAGGAAAATGAAAAATTTTAGTGTGATTTTGAACTTGAGGGAGAGCACACGCAAATTTTGTCTCCTAACGTTAAGATAAATGTTCCCGTCCTATGATCTTCATTATCCTACAACCCTGGTGAAGAAACATCATTTTGGTTTCCTGAATCCCGTACCGTCGACTTATTTGTCCTACAACCAACAGACTAAACTAAGTGTTATTTTCTTTAGATTTATTCTTATTAATTTAGTTAACCTTCAATACGAAAGCCTCATTACATTATTTTTTTAGGTTAAATATAAATTATAATACAAATTAGCGCCATCTACATTACAAAGGCTTAATCTAATAATTAAGTAATAATTTAGACTTCGATAGACGGCGCTTAAATAAATTTGTTTAAACAATTTTGAAGATAAAAAGCTAATTCAACATAATTAATTATTAAACATAGATATTTCGATGATCAACCTCCAAAACGAAACGAGCTTTGAGGTTATGTCATGTTTATTTGTCAAAGTGACGTTTAAGTTAACCTCGAAATTTTTAATTTTTGTATTAAATGAGCAAAAAGAGGCAGAAAAATCGAGATGAAGACAACGGATTTGGAGAATGGGTTGATAAACACAACGTAATTGATTGTGTTTTATTACTTTTCATTAATTATTTGTAGGGTGGTTACATGGAGGCGAAAAAAGCGAAACTTTCGGAGCAATTTGATGTTATTTCATCTAATATTGAGAAAAAATCGTTAATTTTCGAGGGAATTTCAATTTTAGTTAACGGTTATACCCAGCCGAGTGCTGATGAGTTAAAATTTTTGATGGCTGAGCACGGAGGGAGGTTTCATTTGTATCCGAATCAAAGAGGGGTTACAACTCACATTATTGCAACTAATTTGCCCAACATAAAGATTAACCAAGGAAACATCCCTGTTGTTAATCCCAAATGGATCACAGACTCAATTGATGCTAAAAAATTGGTCTATTTTAAAAAATATTTGTTATATAGCAACGAATCAAAAACACAACCTAAATTAAACCTAAATAAAAACACAAAAACAGCTAATGACCCAGAATTTCTCGCCGAGTTCTACAACAACTCTCGTTTACATTTAATTTCGACCCTGGGAGCTGAATTTAAGCAATTTGTGAACGAATTACGCGAAAAATCCATTGGAAACTTCCCCGGGTTAAATAAATTAATGAATTCAACTAAATTACCACGAAATTACGAAAATTGCGTTATAATGCACATCGATATGGATTGTTTCTTTGTTTCTGTTGGGTTAAGATCTCGCCCAGAACTAAAAGGTCGCCCCGTAGCTGTGACCCATTCGAAAACGGGCCAAATTAATCGCAAAAACGATATTAAAAAGGAACTAGAAATGTGGGGGGAAAAAAATTCGAAATTAATCAACATCGATAATAAATCGTCAATGTCGGAAATTGCGAGTTGTAGTTACGAGGCGAGAAAATCGGGCGTTCGAAACGGGATGTTGATGGGGGCCGCGTTAAAACTTTGCCCCGATTTAACTCCGATCCCCTACGATTTCGACGAATACAAAAAAGTTTCGAAAATTCTTTACGAAACGATCTCTGAGTACACCGTTGATATCGAAGCGGTGAGTTGCGATGAGATGTACGTCGATGTGACCGGGATTTTAAAGAAAACGGGGGTTTGTGTCGATGAGTTCGCGAAACATATTCGGGGCGAGATTAGTTTAAGAACTGGGTGTCCGTGCTCTGCGGGGTTTGGGGAAAATCGACTTCAAGCTAGAATGGCTACGAAAAAAGCTAAACCAAACGGGCAATATCATTTAAAAGACGGGGTTTTGAGTTATTTTGAAAGTGTTAAATTGGAGGATTTACCCGGAGTTGGGTGGAGCACTTTGAAGAAGTTAAAAAATTTGAGGTTAGAAACTTGTGGGGACGTCCAAGTAAGTAATTAATTTAAAATAAATTATGAAACCTATTAATTATGTTATATTAAACGGAGTTTAATATTGAAATGTACTTTTATTAGATAAACAACGTTCTTACATCGTGTAAAAACGAGTATTTAGTTTTACGAGTTTAGGTTGGCAACAAAAAAAAATGACATGAAACTTAATGCAAGATTTATATATAAAAATGACATTGAAAGTGTCACTCTATTGACTTGTAACTCTATAAATGTTAGAAATAAAATTAACAATCACCGTAAAACCCGAAAAAAAAAATTTTTGGTTATAAAGGTGTTCTTTTTTTAACATAAATAGATAGAAAATTAAAAATGCTTTAAAATGAACCCAAACTCGACTTATTTATTTCTAACCGTTATTGAGATATCTTAATTTTTATAAAAAAAAAATGGCGCTTATTTGACAGTTTATAACCTAACTTTTTTTATTTTTTAACCAAAACATATCATGTTTGGTATCAAATGAAAGCATTTTTGATTCTTATTAAGATCATTTCAATATTAATCAAAAAATCGTTTTATTTAATTTTGACATTTGACAGTTATTAACCTAACTTTTTATTTCTTAACCTAAATATATCATGTTTGGTATCAAATGAAAGCATTTTTGATTCTTATTAAGATCATTTCAATATTTATAAAAAATCGTTATATTTAATTTTGACATTTGACAGTTTCTAACCTAACTTTTTTATTTTTTAACCCAAATATATCATGTTTGGTATCAAATTAAAGCATTTTTGATTCTTATTAAGATCATTTCAATATTTATCAAAAAATCGTTATATTTAATTTTGACATTTGACAGTTTCTAACCTAACTTTTTTATTTTTTAACCCAAATATATCATGTTTGGTATCAAATTAAAGCATTTTTGATTCTTATTAAGATCATTTCAATATTTATCAAAAAATCGTTATATTTAATTTTGACATTTGACAGTTTCTAACCTAACTTTTTTATTTTTTAACCCAAATATATCATGTTTGGTATCAAATTAAAGCATTTTTGATTCTTATTAAGATCATTTCAATATTTATCAAAAAATCGTTATATTTAATTTTGACATTTGACAGTTTCTAACCTAACTTTTTTATTTTTTAACCCAAATATATCATGTTTGGTATCAAATTAAAGCATTTTTGATTCTTATTAAGATCATTTCAATATTTATCAAAAAATCGTTATATTTAATTTTGACATTTGACAGTTTCTAACCTAACTTTTTTATTTTTTAACCCAAATATATCATGTTTGGTATCAAATTAAAGCATTTTTGATTCTTATTAAGATCATTTCAATATTTATCAAAAAATCGTTATATTTAATTTTGACATTTGACAGTTTCTAACCTAACTTTTTTATTTTTTAACCCAAATATATCATGTTTGGTATCAAATGAAAGCATTTTTGATTCTTATTACGATCATTTCAATATTAATCAAAAAATCGTTTTATTTAATTTTGACCTTTGACAGTTATTAACCTAACTTTTTATTTCTTATCCTAAGTATATCATGTTTGGTATCAAATGAAAGCATTTTTGATTCTTATTAAGATCATTTCAATATTTATCAAAAAATCATTGTATTTAATTTTGACATTTGACAGTTCCTAACCTAACTTTTTTATATTTTAACCCACATATATCATGTTTGGTATCAAATGAAAGCATTTTTGATTCTTATTACGATCATTTCAATATTAATCAAAAAATCGTTTTATTTAATTTTGACCTTTGACAGTTATTAACCTAACTTTTTATTTCTTATCCTAAGTATATCATGTTTGGTATCAAATGAAAGCATTTTTGATTCTTATTAAGATCATTTCAATATTTATCAAAAAATCATTGTATTTAATTTTGACATTTGACAGTTCCTTACCTAATTTTTTTTATTTTTTCACCCGCATGTATCATGTTTGGTATCAAATGAAAGCATTTTTGATTCATATTAAGATCATTTCAATATTTATAAAAAAATCGTTGTATTTAATTTTGACATTTAACAGTTTCTAACCTAACTTTTTTATTTTTTAACCCAAATGTATAGTGTTTGGTATCAAATTAAAGCATTTTTGATTCTTATTAAGACCATTTCAATATTAACTCTAACTCAAGTATATAAATATAACAAATTATTATTTAAATTCGTTTCATTTTAATTGTAGGGGATAAATTTGAATACATTACAATCAGAATTAGGCGAAAAATTGTCAAAATTAATCCAAGATTATTCCCGGGGAATTGACCCAAAACCTTTGCAATACGAACATGAACGAAAATCAGTTTCGGCCGATGTTAATTACGGAATTCGATTTAAAAACCATGAAGAATCATTAAAATTCTTAGAGTCCCTCTCAAAAGAAGTATTTTTTAGATTATCCGAGATCAAAATGAAATCGAAATGTGTTACGTTAAAGCTGTTAATTCGAGCTAAAGACGCCCCAATTGTAATTAAATTAATCTTTTTGTCTTAATTTGGTTATTATTAATCTTGTTATGTTTAGGAGACTGCTAAATATTTAGGTTGTGGAGTTTGCGATGCTTTATCGAGGAGCACAACGACTAATTTTTATTTAGACTCATCCGAAACGATTTTTAAAGAGGCGAAAAGTTTGTATCAAAAATTGGGGGTTATCCCGGAAGATTTAAGAGGCGTTGGAATCCAATTATCGAGGTTGGAGAAGGTTAATAAAGTTGTTAATAATGCGATGAGGAATTTTTTAACCAAAAAGTTACAAGATAATGAAATTAAAATTAAAAGAAAAGATGTTAATGTAGAAAAACCAGAGAAAAAGAAAGTTTTAACTAATTATTTTAAAGTGGAAAAGTTAGATTTTAATAGAGAAGTGAAAAAAAAGGGGTTAAGTGTCGATATGGACGTTTTAAAAGCTCTCCCGGAGGAGATTCAAAAAGAAATCATCGACGAGTACGATTTAAAACCTTTAAAAGTTAATACAGAGTTGAATAAACCAAAATTGATTGATACAAACAAGGCGAAAAAGACAAAAAGTTTTAGTGACTTATCCCTGGAGAGTTTAAGAGTTTTATTAAAAAATTGGATTAACACCGAACCGAAAGAAATCGACGTCGAAATGCTTGGGGGTTACTTAAAAAGCTTGGCGATTAAGCGGGATTTAAACACTTTGTATCCAATTATTAGATTTATTTATAGGTAAATGTTTTGAGGAAAAAATTGAAGTTATGTTGGTTTTTTTTAATAATTTTAGGATCATTAACGAAAAATCTTGCGTTTGGCACGAAATTTACGCAAAATTAATCGATTTTACTCAAAAGGGGATGAAAGAATCTTTCGGGAAACTTCTCCACGTCGAAAAAAAATTTTATTGTGGAATTTTACATTTTTAATTAAAAATTAAGGTAAATCAACAATTACATTTAATCCACAATTACGATTTTTTATTAAAATACTCATTTTTAATTTTAATTATATTTCTTTTAATTCAACCCAATTTAACATAAATTTAAAAATGAAATAAAATTTTCTAATAAAATCTTAAATCTTGTTAGAATGGATTATTAACGAAAAGATTGATTTAAAAAGATGTAAATTGATATTTAAGGCATTATAAGATGAGAAGGTATTTATTAACAAATTTCCTAAATTAATTGCTTATTTAAAATAAAAATTTCGAGGTTATGTCAAACGTCACATTGACATATAAATATTGATTAAACGTCAATATAAAATAAAATAATCTTTAATGGTTTTCCTTTTTAATTTTAATTATTTCATTAATTACAACAAGTTTTAATTTAATTTATTTTAATTTAACCTAATTCTAAAATTATTAAATATTTAAATCATTATTTAATGCGTTATTTAGTTATTACACTCATAGATGGCACCAATTGTCTTTGTTATTTTTAAGCTGTCAAAAAGTGATTTTGTGTCAAAACATTTGTTGGTTATAAATCGATTAAAAATCGCGTTTTAATTAATTAGAACATACAATATAGTGAGATTACAATGTTTATTATGTGTTTTTTAATAGTTTCGTGCGCGATTCAATTGTATGATGAAAAAGGTAAGAATTCAATTTTTATCAATTTTTTTTAACCCGACATAAAACTCAATTTTTAAGAAAGATTTTTTATAAATAATTCAAAATCAGGATTAATTAATAAATTTGGGATATAAGTTTTTAATTAAAAAAAATTATTTAAATTTAATTATGTAATGAAGTGCGTCATTTAAGTCATAGATGGCGTGACGTAATTATTTTTTTTGATCTGTCAAAAAATGGTTTTGTGTCAAAACTGTTTGGTTATAAATCGAGTAAAAATCGCGTTTTAATTAATTAGAACCTTACAATATAGTGAGATTACAATGTTTATTATGTGTTTTTTAATAGTTTCATGCGCGGTTCAATTGCATGATGAAAAAGGTAAGAATTCAATATTTTTTAACCCAACAAAACTTAATTTTTAAGAAAGATTTTTTATAAATAATTCAAAATCAGGATTGATTCATAAATTTGGAATATAAATAGCGTGTTTAATTAAAAAAATTAATTATTTAAATTTAATTATGTAATGAATTGCGTCATTTAGGTCATAGATGGCGTAACGTAATTATTTTCTTTGATCTGTCAAAAAATGATTATGTGTCAAAACTTGTTTGGTTATAAATCGAGTAAAAATCGCGTTTTAATTAATTAGAACCTATAATATAGTGATATTACAATGTTTATTATGTGATTTTAATAGTTTCATGCGCGGTTCAATTGCATGATGAAAAAGGTAAGAATTCAATATTTTTTAACCCAACAAAACTTAATTTTTAAGAAAGATTTTTTATAAATAATTCAAAATCAGGATTGATTCATAAATTTGGAATATAAATAGCGTGTTTAATTAAAAAAATTAATTATTTAAATTTAATTATGTAATGAATTGCGTCATTTAGGTCATAGATGGCGTAACGTAATTATTTTCTTTGATCTGTCAAAAAATGATTATGTGTCAAAACTTGTTTGGTTATAAATCGAGTAAAAATCGCGTTTTAATTAATTAGAACATACAATATAGTGATATTACAATGTTTATTATGTGCTTCTAATAGTTTCATGTGCGGTTCAATTGCTAAAAAAGTAAGAATTCAATTTTTAATATTTTCTTTTTAACCAAACAAAACTTAATTTTTAAGAAAAATTTGTTTATAAATAATTCAAAATCAGGATTAATTCATAAATTTGGGATATAAATAGCGTTTTTAATTAAAAAAAATAATTATTTAAATTTAATTATGCAACGAAGTGCGTCATTTAGGTCATAGATGGCGTGACGTAATTATTTTCTTTGATCTGTCAAAAAATGATTTTGTGTCAAAAATTGTTTGGTTATAAATCGAGTAAAAATCGCGTTTTAATTAATTAGAACATACAATATAGTGAGATTACAATGTTTATTATGTGTTTTTTAATAGTTTAGTGCGCGATTCAATTGCATGATGAAAAAGGTAAGAATTCAATTTTTAATCAATTTTTTTTAACCCAACATAAAACGAAGATTTTACGAAAGATTTTTTTATAAATAATTTTTCCTTTTTAATTTTAATGATTACAAATTTATGAAACATAAATTTAACACGTAACTTACGTGACATTGAAAGTGTCATTTTACAAATGTCATTTGTACTCTATTGACTTGTAAAGCAATAAAGGTTAGAAATAAAATTAAAACTAGAAACTTTGAGGTTATGTCGCGCGTCTCGACGATAATTTTATTTCTGCTAACAATCGGCGTAAAACCCGTCAAAATTGCTTTTATTTGATTCAAACAAGATATATTTGGGTTAAAGTTAGGTTATAAACTGTCAAATGTCAAAATTAAATATAACGAAAAAAAATTTTATTGTGGAATTTAACATTTTTAATCAAAAATTAAGGTAAATCAACGAAAATAATCATTTATTATTATTTAATTTTACTTAAATTTAATTTATAATAAAGATTTTTTTTATTAAAATAAGAATTTAGGTTTTTCGATTAAAAAAATTGAGGTTATGTCAATTGTCAAAATAATTTTTTTACATTTTTAATAAAAAATGAGGACATTTAACGAAGATAATCATTTATTATTGTTAAATCTTGCTTATTAAATTTAATTTATAATAAATTTTTTTATTAAAATAATCATTTTTAGGTTTTTTGATTAAAAATAATTGAGGTTATGTCAGTTGTCAAAAAATTAGGTAAATTAACGAAGATAATCATTTATTATTAAAAGTTACAATAATTCAATCCACAATAAAGTTGTATATTAAAAAAAAACGAATTAACTCTATTTTTAGCAAAATAATTTCATTATCGTTAAGAAAATAGCTTTGGCACTACATCATTGTAGCTTAATTTAATAACTTATTATAAAAATATCATCTAATTTTACTTCATTAGTACGATTACATAGGCAAGGATTAATTTAATTAGCTATATCACTAACAATTAAGGCAATTCTAATTTCGGAGAATTCTTTGTGCGATTCTTTAAATTAAGATTGTCACAAAATTAATAATGGTACCAAGGTTGGCGTCGCACCCAGCGTAATCTCCCTTGGGTTTGCGAATGAATCTTAATGCTGGCTCCTTCGGCGGCTCGAACAGTTTCTTTGACACTTTGCATTAAATTTTGGGCGTTCCCTTCGAGCATTTCGGTCGCTTCTCTGTCTTCTTCTGATCCTTGGGCCCCTAACATTGTGGCTTTAACGGTGCTTAATATTTTTAGTTGGGTGGCAATCGTGGGGATTCGCTCACAAACTTGTAATAAATTGGTTCGGATTCTTTTGTCGGTGCATTCGCGCGCTAATTGTTTGGCGATGCGCGTTACTTCAGCTGAGGAATCAGCGATCGCTTTCGCCGTGTCAATTAATTGCCGTTTACTTCCTTTATCATCGTTGTGGACTAAATCTGATAATTTAGCCATTAATAAAGCCATCTTACGAGCGGCTGCGATTAATTCGTTGTCTTTTGCCGACCATTGTCGGACTTCCCTATGCAAATTATGAGCCGCAACCTAAAATAAAATCAATTTTATTCACTAATTAATCAAAAATTAATTATTTACCATGATGGGTTGAGTCGAACTCGGAGCGTTCCTAAAAACATCATCTTCATCATCAGTTTCTGGGGGTGGTGGCCTCATTGGGGCTGCTTCTCCCATCGGAAGAGGTGGTCTAGGAGGCGCCATTTCTTTTAAATCAACAAAAAAACATTAATTTTGACGAAACAAAACAATTAAAAACACAAAATCATGCCCAATGCTAAAATAATTACCATCTTCCGACAAATACTGAGGAATGAATCGGCAAATTCCTTTAATTTTTTTTAATGCGTGTAAAAAAACGATTATTAATTAAACTATGTTAAAACTAAATAAACAAGCCAAGCTAATCAAGCGTTAAGCGCGGTTAAAACGGTCTAAATCGAGACATATCAGGGGTTATATCGATTAGTTCATTAATCAAATAAAAAGAAACGATTTTAATCCGTGTTAAATTACCTTCGTGGTGGTTCGAAATCAATTCCTTACAGAGATTGTCCGAGTTATCACCTTATTTTGCAAAGGTTTAATCGAAAGAAAAGAAAAATGTGTTAATTCAGTAAAAAAATTAAAAATTGACGTTTATTTTTGACGTTTCGCGTCATTTTGACGTTTCAAACAATTAATTTTTGATTTTTAAGGTTACATTCGGAATCTGTGTTGAAAATCCTTTAAAATGATACCAAACACGATGTATTTATCTTTAAAAAAAAATCCAAGATGGCGGCTTAAATTTTAAGGTTAATTTTGTCATTTTTAAGGTTAACCCCATCGAGTTTGGGCTCATTTTAGCAGATTTTTTATAACCAACAATAATTTATCAAAAAAAAAATATAATTAAAAAAATGTCATTAAATTAGGTTATATAACCTTAAAAAGTATTTTTTTTAAATTTTTTACTTTAAATTCGGAATCTATATTGAAAATCCTTTAAAATGACACCAAACACGCCATCTTTATTTTAAACCGTATTATCCAAGATGGCGGACCAATCCGGTTAAATTTTAAGGTTAACTTTGTCATTTTTGAAGTGAACCCCATCGAGTTAGGGCTTATTTTAAAGGATTTTCCATAGCCAATAATAATTTATTATAAAAAACAATCTTACTTCAAAAGGTTTAGTTAAATTCGGTTATATAACCTTAAAAATGACTTCTTTTTAATTTTTGAGTTAAGATTTGTAATCTACATCAAAAACCCTTTAAAATGACACCAAACACGCCATCTTTATCCTAAATTGCATTTTTCCAAGATGGCGTCTCCATTAATTTAGGTATTAAGGTTAACTTTTTTATTTTTAAAGATAACCCCATTGTGTTTGGACTTATTTTAAAGGATTTTCAATAGCCAATAATAATTTGTTATAAAAAAAACATTATTTCAAAAGATTTAGTTAAATTTGGTTATATAACCTTAAAAATTATTTTTAAAAAAAATTTTAAGTTNTTTAAAGGATTTTTCATAGCCAATAATAATTTATTATAAAAAACAACCTTACTTCAAAAGGTTTGGTTAAATTAGATTATATAACCTTAAAAAAATTTTTTTTTTAATTTTTGAGTTAAAATTCGTAATCTACATCAAAAATCCTTTAAAATGACACCAAACACGCCATGTTTATCTTAAACCCCATATTCCAAGATGGCGGCTTTTATAATTAAGATACTAAGGTTAACTTTTTCATTTTTAAAGATAACGCCATCAAGTTTGGGGTTATTTTAAAGGATTTTTCATAGCCAATAATAATTTATTATAAAAAACAACCTTACTTCAAAAGGTTTAGCTAAATTAGGTTATATAACCTTAAATTTTTTTTAATTTACGATTTAAAATTCGTAATCTACATCAAAAATCTTTTAAAATGACATCAAACACGCCATCTTTATCTTAAACCGCAATTTCCAAGATGGCCGCTCCATTAATATAGGTATTAAGGTTAACTCTTTCATTTTTAAAGATAACCCCATCGAGTTTGGACTTGTTTGAAAGGATTTTTCATAACGAATAATAATTCATCACCAAAACAATTTTACTTAAAATTTTTTTATGAAATTAGGTTAAATCACCTTAAAAATTAATTTAAAAATTTTTTTTAGCTAAAATTCGTAAGTTACATTAAAAATCCTTTAAAATGATACCAAACACGCCATATTTATTTTAAGAAATATTTTCCAAGATGGCGGTTTATAACATTTAAATTTTAAGGTTATCTTTTTCATTTTTAAAGATAACCCCATCGAGTTTACACTCATTTTAAAGCATTTTTAATTCCTATTACGAAAAAAACAAGTTTTAAACGATTAGTTTTATGTTTGGTGTCATTTTAAGGCATTTTTCATTTTTAAAACGTTAACCCAACAAATTTTAATTTTTAAAACGTCAAAATGGATGTCAAATAAATTAGTACCTCTTGCCCATTTAGGAATAGGACTGACCCGCCCCGTTTGAGGTGAAATCGGCCTAAGTGAGTCGCTAGCGTCTGCTCGAGGCAGCGGTATGTTACGCACAGGTTCGCCAACTAAATACATACATACGTACAAGAAAAACAAATTAAGAAAAAAAAGTTTCGTTACTTTCTCGTCGATTGAGTGTGTGTGTCCACGCCTTCACATCCGATCAAAAAGAAAAAATCAAAAATCCCCAACTGTCAATTTTGACAGTTAGGTTAATCTTGTTTGTGTTGGTAGAAGTGTTAAGATTAATCTTTTTTTATCTACAGAAGTTAAAATGTGATTTTAATCAAATGATTTTTTAAAAAAATGTTAATTCTTTTTGTTGATTTTAAGCTAAATGAAGCAGAGAACCCATAGCTACCTTTGTCAATGAAATAAGTTTGTTGCGGTGGAACTGTAACGAAAGAAGAAAAACACCAAAATTGGGGTTATGTACAAAGATTTTAACCCTAAAATTATTAAAACGGCTTTGATTGATTCTCTCACCAATATTTAGTTGCTTTATATCGGGTAATGGAGGCAAATCCGGTTGAACGGCGCTTCGAACATGACCGACGGCACTCAATAACTAAATAAATTAAATAAGTTTCAAATAAATAAATTAATTAAAACATACAGTTTTATTTGATTCTCTCCATCTCGATACCGCCGAATGATCCGATGGATTAACAGCGACAAATTTGGCATCTTGCACCATTTGGGGCAACGAATTTTGCACCTCCTCCGTGGCGCCGTTAATTTCGTCGATAAAACCGGGATCCTCGGAATTATCACTTTCTTGTTTCGCAACTAAAAGTACTCGATTAGCTAACCGAGCGATTGCCGATGTGTTATCGACCATTTTTTGGGGCTGCTTATTTTTGATCGCTTCCTCGCAAAGAAAAGTGTGCTTCTTCATTTGATCTTCCGAAGCTTTTATAAAATCGCCCGAATCGGTCGCTTCATCACACAGATTTCTCGTCCGCACTAAAAGATCGCTGTATTGTTGTTTTAAGTTCTCAAAGTGTTCATCGGCAGCTTTCGATTCGGGGTAATTCATTCGGATACTCCCCGCGGATATTAATTGCGGGGTGATACTTTCAACTTGATTTGCGGTGCTTTGTAAGGATTCGGCTAATTTTTTGTTACCACCAGATCCGCCTAAAAATAATCACAAATTAATGATAAATAATTTTTTTTTAGGTTACGTCTCAAAAATTAAATTAAATTAAAACATGCAACTCATTTAAAAACGGGGGGAAATGAATAAACGATTTTTTTAAATTAAAATTAAAGGAAATAAAACGTTTATTTATTTAATTATCAATAAAAATGATTTAATTAATTTTTTTGAGGTTAGGTTGAATTTATGACGTATAAAATTAAAACAAAAAAGTATGTTGGCAACACTTTTTTACTAAGCTGTCAAAATGAATTTGTCGAATTAATTCGATTTAAATTAAAAAATTAATTAATTTGGTGTAAATAATCTTAATTATTTTAATTAATTCCATTTTTACGTAAAAATTGATTTAGATGAAAATAAATGTTAATTGGAGAAGATTGATTATTAATTATTAAGATTCAGATTAGAATGACATAACCTCAATGCGAGATGGATTTGTGACTTAAAATTAAATCATGCAAGAATTTTCAGGGATTACTTTAATTTAAAAAATTATTTGAACTATCTATAATAAATAAAACCCATCAATTTTTTAATCAAAAAGTTATAACCTAACTATAACCTTAAATTTTTTTTTTAATTTTTGAGTTAAGATTCGTAATCTACATCAGAAATCCTTTAAAATGACACCAAACACGCCATCTTTATCTTAAACCCCATATTCCAAGATGGCGGCTTTTGTAATTAAGATATTAAGGTTAACTTTTTCATTTTTCAAGATAATCCTATCGAGTTTGGGCTTATTTTAAAGGATTTTCCATAGCCAATAATAATTTATTATAAAAAACAACCTTACTTCAAAAGGTTTGGTTAAATTAGATTACATAACCTTAAAAATTTTTTTTTTAAATTTTTGAGTTAAAGTTCGTAATCTACGTCAAAAATCCTTTAAAATAACACCAAACACGACATGTTTATCTTAAACCGTATTTTCCAAGATGGCGGCTACATTAATTAAGATATTAAGGTTAACTTTTTCATTTTTAAAGATAACTCCATCAAGTTTGGGCTTATTTTAAAGGATTTTTCATAGCCAATAATAATTTATTATAAAAAACAACCTTACTTCAAAAGGTTTGGTTAAATTAGATTACATAACCTTAAAAATTTTTTTTTTAAATTTTTGAGTTAAAGTTCGTAATCTACGTCAAAAATCCTTTAAAATAACACCAAACACGACATGTTTATCTTAAACCGTATTTTCCAAGATGGCGGCTACATTAATTAAGATATTAAGGTTAACTTTTTCATTTTTAAAGATAACTCCATCAAGTTTGGGCTTATTTTAAAGGATTTTTCATAGCCAATAATAATTTATTATAAAAAACAACCTTACTTCAAAAGGTTTGGTTAAATTAGATTACATAACCTTAAAAATTTTTTTTTTAAATTTTTGAGTTAAAGTTCGTAATCTACGTCAAAAATCCTTTAAAATAACACCAAACACGACATGTTTATCTTAAACCGTATTTTCCAAGATGGCGGCTACATTAATTAAGATATTAAGGTTAACTTTTTCATTTTTAAAGATAACTCCATCAAGTTTGGGCTTATTTTAAAGGATTTTTCATAGCCAATAATAATTTATTATAAAAAACAACCTTACTTCAAAAGGTTTGGTTAAATTAGGTTATATAACCTTAAAATTTTTTTAATTTACGACTTAAAATTCGTAATCTACATCAAAAATCCTTTAAAATGACACCAAACACGCCATCTTTATCTTAAACCGCAATTTTCAAGATGGCGGCTCCATTAATATAGGTATTAAGGTTAACTCTTTCATTTTTAAAGATAACCCCATCGAGTTTGGACTTATTTTAAACGATTTTTCATAACGAATAATAATTCATCGCAAAAAAAAATTTTACTTAAAAAACTTAATAAATTAGGTTAAACCAAAACAAAATTTAATTTTAAAATCGTCATTTACATTAAAAATCGTTTAAAATGACACCAAACACGCCATTTTTATATTAAAAAACATTTTCCAAGATGACGACTTATCCCATTTAAATTTTAAGGTTATCTTTTTCATTTTTAAAGATAACCCCATCGAGTTTGGGCTCATTTTAAAGCAGGGCATTTTGTAGGGACTACTTTTGTTTAAAAAATTATTAAACCCATCAATTTTTGAAATTAAAAAGAAATCTACCTTTTTTTGTAATCCGTAAAAATTCCGATTTAATTAATTTTTTGAGGTTAGGTTGAATTTATGACGCTTAAAATTAAAACAAAAAAGTCTGTTGGCAACACTTTTTTAGTAACCTGTCAAGATGAATGTGTCGAATAAATTATTTCGATTTAAATTAAAAAACTAATTAATTTGGCGTAAATAATCTTAATCAATTTCAATTAATTTAGGTAATAAATTTTAATTGGGGAAGATTGATTATTAATTATTAAGATTGAGGTTAGAATGACATAACCTCAATCCGAGATGGTTTTGTGTCAAGAAATTATATCATGCAAATTATTTGAACTACCTACAATAAATAAAACCCATCAATTTTTTTAAATTAAAAATAAATCTACTTTTTTTTCTAATCCGTAAAAATTCCGATTTAATGAATTTTTTGAGGTTAGGTTGAATTTGACGCTTAAAATTAAAACAAAAAAGTCTGTTGGCAACACTTTTTTACTAAGCTGTCAAGATGAATGTATCGAATTAATTAATTCGATTTAAATAAAAAAAACTAATTAATTTGGTGTAAATAATCTTAATTCATTTTAATTAACTCCTTTTTTAGGTAAAAATTGATTTAGATGAAAATAAGTTTTAATTGGTGATGATTATTAAGATTGAGGTTGAGATGACATAACCTCAATCCGAATCTGAGATGTTTTGTGTCAAGAAATTAAATCATGCAAGAATTCTCAGGGAAAACCCAACTTACTTTTGTTTAAAAAATTATTTGAACTACCTACAATAAATAAAACCCATCAATTTTTTAAAATTAAAAATAAATCTACCTTTTTTTTTCTAATTAAAAGTAAAAATTAATCGGACTTATTTACCTGCAGCGACCATTCTCGCCGTTTTAACCGCCCGGTTTGAGAAATTTTGTAACCCGCCGGCTTTTTCGAGGAAAGTTTGATCGCGATGCGGGGTTCCTTCCGGCAGTAAAACCGCCTCGGTGAATTGTTTTAGTGGCGTTACGATATCGATGAAATCTTCAACTACGCGGTTAACGACGGCTTGGTTAATGCGTTCTTTTAATTCGTGGAGTTTTTGGGATAATTTCCTTGCGACTTCTTGCGCGTGGGCTGTATCGCCTTTCCCCTGTTGGCATAAATCGGATAATTGGCGAGAGAACCCATCGACTTCATCGCATAACTGCAAAATCTCGGATTTTTGAACTCCGGGTAATCCATCGGCTACTTTACGACCTTCCTCAACGATTAAAGCAATGGCTCGTCTTCCTAAACCTTTATCGTCTTGACCTGGGTTTGATAACCACTTTCTTGCTTGTTCTAACCTAAAAATTGCTTTGATTAGTATTAAATTAAACTAATTTGAGTGAATTTACCTTCCTTGAACTGTATGAGCGGTTTGTTGTAACCCTGCTTTATCGACGGCGACAACCGCGTTCATTATACCTTGTTGTAAATCCCCTAATTTATCTTTAATCCCTCTTGCTAAAGCTTCAGCTTGAGGGGTAGCCCCTTTTCCTTCTTGTCTTAACTCGCAAAGGGCGTCTGTCATTGTTGCTAATTCCGAGCATAAACGATCGATGCGATTTGCATCTGCAGGAAGGCATCTTTCCGCGACTTTTTGCCCCGCTTCGATGATTTGTCTCAACGATTTCTCCCCAATTCCTCCTTTTAAAGCTTTGGGGTCATTTAACCAATCGTTGGCTGTTGTGACCTTATTTTGAATTGCACTTTGTAACTTTTTAAGCACCGTTAAATTGTCTAAATCTGATTGTTCCTCATCGTAACTCGTTAATTGTAACACTCGGATGATCTCGTTGATTTCATCGCTCATTCTTAAAGCGAGGTAATTCCGATTTTCGGCGGCCTCTTCGATTCCTTTCCCGCCTTGGGATGCTATGTGGATGTAAATCTTCATGGAACATATTAAAATTGGGGCCAAAGTTTTGACTTGTTCTAAACATCTCAATAAAATTTCGGCATGAACTTGATGTGTCAATTCTTTCTCGCGAGCAGAGACCTCTCTTGACACTTTGCTTAAACACGGACTTAAATCTCTCAAAAATTGCACCAATTCTTCCATAGTTTCGATCACTTCGGCTACAGCTAAGTAATCTAAAACCCTTTTGCATTCTCGAATTATTTTTCGAACCTCGGATTCGTCGAAACACAATAATAAAGCGGAAGTTGCTTGTAAAATACCACCACTGCCCTCTATGAGACGTTTTCTCGCCGGACCCGAAAAAGGGTCGTGTTTTAACATTCCACTAGCTTCTTCGAGGAGTTTTGATGATCTTTCGACTCGAATTAAAGCCGATGGCATGTCTTGGCGGAGAATTGGGTCATCTGAACTGTTTATTGTTTCTTTTCCAACTTTAACGAGGTTTAAAACTGCGTTACTAACCACTTTAACGGGTTGTTCTAAGTCAGGCATTGCGTTCCCATCTTCAGCTTCTTCGTGCAGAATCACCAAGCGGGAAACCTTTATTAAAAAAGAAACCAAATATTAATTAAATTAAAAAATTAATTTTTATAGTTACTCCATCTATCAGTGAGTAGCTGTACTAAATTGTTTTTGACGTTTAATTTAAAATTTATTAATTTAATAATAAAAATAAACTTAATTAAAGCTAATTTATAAATTAAACGATATTATTTGATTGAAATTATTTAATTTTAATTAAAAAAAACTTTTTCATAAAGAGTTATTACGCCATCTAGCGGAAAATAAAAACTTTATGTGTCTTCACCTGAATTTAACGAATTTTACCAAAAACTAAGATTAATTGAAGCGAAAAATGACTCAAAATGCATCTTTGAATACCCAAACTATCTCATTTTAGTGATTTAAGTATTCGAAAACTGATTTTATTGCTCGAAATAAATCATTTCAATTTTGACAGAAAACATAACCTAACTTTTTAACCTGTTGGTTTTCAAGAATTTGAGCGATTTATTTAACAAAAAGTGAGTAATTTGATTGAATTTATTAATTTTAAATTGTATAATCATTAATTACAATTAGTAGTGTAGGAGTATTTCAAACTTTCAAAAAAAAAAAACTTATTTTTAGTGAGTTATTTCCGCCATCTAGCGGAAAATAAAAGCCGTTTGTTAATCGTAACATTCTCTCCAAATTTAACGAATTTTACCAAAAAACAAGATTAATTGAAACGAAAAGTGAGTCAAAATACGTTTATGAGTACCCAAACTATCAATTATTGAAAGTTAAGTGAATTATTGCTCCAAAAAATTAATAACAAAAATTTTGACAGAAAACATAACCTCACTTTTTAACCTGTCGATTTTTAATTTGTGGATTTTCAAGAATTTGAGATTAAAACTGAGTTTATTAATTTTAAAATAGATTTCAATTTATTACTTTTCTTATAATAATTCATCAAAAATTATTTATTTTATCAAATAACTTTTTATAATTTTATTTATTTGAGGTTGGTGGAATTGAAAATCACCAACATAACCTAAAAAAAGTGACAGAAATGTCATTATTTATTAATTCTTTAACATTTTTTGTGGAAATATTTTTTTAGAAGGTAGGAAATTAGTTTTTATTGTGTTTAATAAAATAATTTATCGCTATTTTAATAAATAATCGTATTTTCTAGGATTTATCAAAAAAATTTTAACCGCAACTTAACCTAAATTCGGGAAACGTCAAATTTAATCAATTAAATTTATTTTTTCCACAACAATCTCCTTTAAAAACGATAAAACTCTTTCGTAATCGTGTTTTAAAACGTGTGGGCGTGTTACGGAACGTTCTTTAACATAACGTAGGTTGCCGTAGGTTAAAAAACCGTAAACCGAATTCCTCGAGCCATTTTTGGTTTCAAGATCGAATAACACAACCAAAAACAATTAACAACAACTTTCCGCGTTGTTCTACATCGCCTAAAAAAATTTAAGCGCTCTTAAAACACTTGGAAAAGGCTTTAAAAATGTTCAATTGGGATTAGGTGCGGTTGATCTAAATTTAAAATCGCTTCGTTTCACTTTAACACACATCCCCATCCTTGTTTTATTTTTCGTGAACTTTATTTACGACGCGATGACTAAGAAAGAGGAAAAAACAGGGAAAAAGTAAAAATTGTTGATATTTTTTAGGTTAATTAATTTTTTAGGTTAATTACCTGCTGAGCGACCGGCTCGAGTATCGATTCAATTGTTTTCGTATGGAAGACCGGCATTTTTAAAGGGCACTCACAAAAAATCAAAAGTTAAAAAAATTAAAACCTCACTTAAACTAATTCGCGAATTAAACAAATTAAACGCCAATAAGTCACGGTTAACACAAACGCGGAGTTGCGCCGCTTTTAAGGTGATTAAAATAAATTAAATTTTTCTATTTGGTAGGCGGTGAAAACAAAAAAGACGCGAAACACCCGAAAAGAAGAAGACGATCGTCTCAACTGATATGCGATGGTGATTTATAAATAGAACTACTTGGGTGAAGAGGTTGGTAATCAAGGTAGCGACATCTGTTGGGTGAGTTTTTGACATAAAAAACTTTTTTTTATTAAGTTTTAGTTAATTTTTTAATTAATTTGCGTTATTTAATTAAATAAAAATTAATCATAATTAAGTTTAATCAATTTAAGAAAAAAATAATTAATTTATGATGAAGTGTGCGTTTCTACTAAAAGATGGCGCTAGTATATATTAATTTTTTTTTTAAATTTTAAATAATACAAAGAATCGTTTAATTAATTTATAATCATTAAATAATTAGGTGATTTAATTAACCCCAATTTGAACTTAAATATTAGTTTGTTAATAAAAAATTTGATAATAAATTAATTTGTGATAAAGTGCGGGGTTTTCATAAAAGATGGCGCTACTTATTAAATTAAATTAATTTAAACATAATTATTTAACTAATTTATGATCCTTAATTAATAAGATGGTTTAATTAATCGCTATTAGTACTTAAATATTAATTTGTCAATAAAAAAGTGTTAAAATGATTAAAATATTTTTTTTAGGTTATGTTGATCCAAGTATAACCAAAACAAATCGTTAATAATTAATTTCTCCGTAATTATCGAAACAATAAAAAGGATTTATTGGGCGAAGAATCCTTAAAAGTGACCGTAAGTACACAATGATTAAATATAATAATATTATAAAAGTATTTATTTAAATAAATTTTTTTTTAGGTTAGGTTTTCTTCGATTTCGAAATTTTACTAATATCTAAACAAAATCTTCTTAGTTAGGATCGAAAGATTTAATTATTACCGATTCATTTCTCCCTTTTGACCCTCAAAATGTTTAAATTGAAATTGGGGTTGCGAAAATCGTATTCGGTAATCTTGGATGCTAAATTGGAAGAGCCGAATTATACAATCCTACAGATTAATGCAATGTTAGTTATTTGATGATCATGTTAAGTTGTAATTTAACAAAAACGATATTTGTAATAATTAAAAAAATTTAAACGCAACATAACCTCAAATTATAAAATTTCGAATTAATTTTTTATTCTTTTGCAGGATAAAACCCACTCCTAGATATCACCGAGTGATGAACATGATTTTTAAGGTGGGTTAAATTGATTTCTATTAAAAATTAATATTTAATAATAATATATTTACTTACAATACAAAAGCAATTTAATGAGTACAAATTTTTAAACTAAAACACATTTTTTGTCCTTCAATTTTTTTCTCGAACCATTCCAAACTGATAAAATTCTCAAACAGGAAGTGGCCAGAGATGGACGGCCAGGAAACTGTTGTGCATTTGTGATAAGACAAATCACATTCATTTCAAGTTCGAAACAGACTCCTATTAGATCTCGCTTTATTTTTCTCAAAAATAATGAAAAAATTTGTTATTTTGTTTACGGTGATTACAATCGGGGTGGGATTATCTCAATATGGAACCATTAGGGAAAGGAGACGATGTAAATAAGATTAATTAGTTTATTTATTAATAAAATTTAGTTCTTTTTTTGTTGTAGCATGCCCAAGGTTGTATTTAACGAATGGGAGGGTGCGGAATAAGCCAAGAATTTTCGCACAATTTTCATGCAACTCTGGTTATTTATTGATGGGGGAGCGTTACAGGAAATGTACCGATGGGAGATGGGACGGGAAGCTTCCGGTTTGCGTTAAACCTAGTTGCAAAAAACCACAATCATTTCAATTTGGAACGTTTTTTGAATCTTACAATGGGGCTGTTTTAACATTCTTTTGCATCCAAAATTACGTTTTACACGGGGCTAATTTTACTTATTGTGATGGAAAATCATGGAGTAGCTCTTTACCCGCTTGCGTTCGTAAGTAATTTTAAATTAATTAATAATTTTAAACAAATTTAAAATTAATGACATTTCATTCATATCAAAATGTCATTAATAGATGGCGCTGTCACATTAAAATTTTTAAACGTCAAAAAATTTTTAAACGTCAACTGTCAAAATTTTTTTTAGATGAAAATTCAAACGTTTCCGTTTCTTGCGATTTCGAAAAGCCGGATTTATGCGGTTGGAGTCACAGTTTAAATCACGATTTTACTTGGGAACGTATTAATTTGAAAACGCCGAGTGGTCACGTGGGTACGGGGCCGAAACACGACCACACAAAAGGCGAAGGGGAATCAGGTAATTTTTTTTTTCTAAATTAAATAGCTTTGTGTTTATTTTGTTGTTATTTTTAGGATATTACATGTATATTGAGTCGTCTTATAGAAACGAGAACGATACAGCAACCTTAATATCGCCCCTCCATGAGAAGCAACTCCAAAAAAAAACTTGTTTGGAGTTTTATTACCACATGTACGGAAGCGGGATAGGCCAATTAAAGTTATTTGTTAAATTTATAAATCAAGCGGGGTACTCGTTCGCTTGGAACCAAATTTTTGCAATCTCTGGGAATCAAGGTGATGTCTGGCATAGGGGATTCGTCGATTTAGGGAATTTATATGATGATTTCCAAGTAATTATTTTATTCTTATTAATTTTTAATTATTTAATTGTTTAAAATTTGAAAATTTTAGGTTATATTCCAAGGAATTCGAGGAATTAACTATGTGAGCGACATTGCTATAGACGATGTTAAATTAATCGAAGATTGTATAATCGATGAATTAACCACAGCCACAACGTAATTAATTTTAACCTTTTCATCACCAAATTAACATTATTTTTGTAGGGAAACCATCGATACATCAACAATAGCTTTCGAATCATGCGAAAATCGCTGTTTTAAATCAAATGAGACTGCTACAGTGCCCCCATCGACCACTTCGTGTGATTGCGACGAAAATTGCCAAGATAGAAGCAGTTGTTGCCCCGATTTTGCTGTTTATTGCATTTCAGGTAATTTTTTTAGTTAATTTTCGGGGTTAATTCATTAATCTGATTTTAAAACGTAGAGTACACAACAGACAACGTTGAAGATGATGAAACAACCTCATCATCAATTATTGTCACCACTTTTAAACCTAATATTACACAAAAACCAATCGTTGAGTCAACAACTTGGAGTTTTACAAAGAAATCGTCGATAATTACAACAAGAAAGACGACGACACCTTTAAGTACAACTATAACTACTTTTAAAACATCAACTTTTAAACCAAAATTGATTTCTTCAACTTATTCACCGTATATGTTTTCATCAACTACTTCATCAACCTCATCAACTTCTACACCAACTTCCTCATCTACTTCTACATCAACTTCTTCATCAAGGAAGTCTTCATCAACTTCCTCATCTACTTCTTCATCAACTTATTCAACAGAATCAGAGAAAAAGTTTAAATATATTGATGATATAGCAACATTTCCAACAACTCAAAAAACCGGTATAAAAGAATTCGAAATCGAAAAATCGAAACCGTCGATTACGAAACCGGATAACACGTTAACCGTTAAAGTCGTTATCGTTTGTACCGCTGTTATTTTCGTCGTGTTAATTCTAATTTTTGTGTCAAGGAAGGTTTCTGTTGTTTCTTGCTTGAAAATGAAAAGAATGCGCAGTTCCAACGGCGATAGCCAAAGTGATGTGCGGTTTTTAACGGGCGATGAGGTTTTAGATTTTACATTGGCCACGCCGTCAAGTAGCAGAAATTATTAGGTTTTTAAAAAAATAATAATTATTATGTAAAGTTGAGGTGGGTGTTACGAGATGGCGCTTTTAAGTTTGAATTTTTTTGTAGTTTTTAATTATAATCGTGTTTTAATCATTAAATTAATATAAACGTAATTAATTCAATTAATTAATTTCATTTAATCCTAAAATTTAATTTTTAAATAAGAAATAAAATAAATTAAAATTTTTTAGGTTATGTCACATAAATTTGACAGCTTAATTTGCGCAAACTTAAATAATTTAAATCGTTTAAAATAATAATTAAATTAAATAGTTGTGTGTATCGTGATTAAATAACATATTCTTTTAATCTAATATTTATAAAATCAATTTAATAATTATAGTGCAGGTTTTGATTAAGAGATGGCGCTGATGTAAGTATTTATTTAAATTATTCCTTTTTAATTGTTAATTTATTAAATAAACGTAATTATTAATTTAAATCTTTCAATAAATCGATACGAGTTAAATTATTTAAAAAAAATTAATTAATAAGTATCAAATTGCAAATAAAATTGTTTGAGGTTATGTTAACCCACGTCAAAACAAACCGACGTTAATCGATTAATTTATCTTAAAACCACATTAATTGATTCAAAAATCGTTTTTATTACAACGAGTAACTTAATAAATCGTCCCGTAAGTATATTTACAATTAAAATTAACTAAAATAATAAAATAAATTTTTTTTAGGTTATGTCACTTTTTAAGAAACTTTTTCCTTTATTATTGGCCCCGAAATTGGTCGGAAATGCATCGAGGGGGTTCCACGGTTTAACAAGTACAATTAACGATACATTTTTTGGTTCGAAAGTGAATTTTTTGGTTCCGACGGTGGTGAATTTGCAACAATCATGTGGGTTTAAAATGAAGGGTCGCTTGAGGAAGCGCTGTAAAGATTGTTACTTTGTAATGCGAGAAGAACGCCTTTTCGTTATTTGCAACACCCATCGGAGACACAAACAGATGTCGATGGTTAAAGACCCGAAAAATACTTGGATTTTGTCGCACGCGACTCAAAGCAAAATTAGACCGTGGTGAAAAACAATTCATTTGTCATTATAATTAATTAGTTATTAATTAGATTTGATAATTATAAATAAATAAAATTAATTTTGAGTTTTAAATTAACACGGATAGATGGCGCGTCATTTTCGTAACCTCTCGGGTAATTTCGTTTTAAACGTCAAAACTCGTTGTAATGGCGGCTTGGTTTCGTGTTTCCGATGTAAATGTGTGTTAGTTTCGTTTTTTGGGTTAAATTGGGGCGTTTTCGGGGCGAAAATGCGACGGATTTTTAACCGGGGGATGTTCGCTTTGGTGTAACAAGTAAGTTTTGTTCCGTTTTAATCGTTTGAGGGGCGCAATTTTTTCGTTTGTTTTTTTGAGGGGGTCAAACAGCGTTTTTATTTTCCTAAATAATTCGTTGATTTAATTATTTTTTTGATAATCCGTTTCGATTTATCGCGTTTTGACGCGATTTATCTTATTTTGTGAATTAATTTGATGCTTTTGGGGTTAATTTTGATTTCGGGTCGTTGTCTGCGTGTTAAAATTTTTTTTTTGAGGTTATGTTGACTCTTCTCATGAATATTCAGTTCCAATTAAAATAAAACGAGTAAACAGGAAATGTAATGACGTTTTGGATGTAGGAAAATAAAACGGCTTTAATTTAATGCGTCTTTATTATTTGGTAAAAAAAATTTAAAAAAATGAGACATAACCTAAAATGTTTTTTAATTTTTTTGAGGTTATTTTTTTTCGTTGTATTTTTATTTCGGTTCACTTCGGGTATTCTTTGGCACATTGCCCGCGGAATTTTAGACGTTCCCAGACCCGCGGACGTCGTCCACTCCTCTTTTTTAGGGGGCCTTCGTTAAAACGCGAAATGAAACTAAGAAATTTATGCTGCGTAAGTTTTTCTTTTTTGAATTTCCCGCCGGGGCGAAACCGCCCCATATCGATTTCCCCCACTTCATCCCTTAAAAATAATCGAGGCGCCTCTGACGCATCAGCTGATTTTCACTAAAACAAATGGTGATTAAAAAAAAAAATGAATCACGCTTTTTTAGCGTCCTTTTTGAGTCGTTTGAATGAAACTAACGCAATGTTGGGTTGAGTAATTCGTTTTCGTAACGTTTTTGGGGTGATTAAGAGAAATTTTGGGTTTGGTGGGGAAGAAATCGTTAAATAAATGTGTATAGCTGTGATGAGGCGAGTTTTTAGCGGATTTGAATCTTTGGTTTGCGCTGTAAGTTCTTTTCGAATCGAATTTTTATTTATTTTTGGTGTATCGGGAGGGTTTTTGACCTAAATTTGCAACGCGAATCGTTTACGAGCCACTAAAACACATGTTTATTATACAATTTGAAGCTAAATTTAATCCTACAACATAACCTATTTATACTTTATCCATTTAAATATCATTTTTTTAGGCGTTATGCAGTGAGGTTTACGAAATGCAGATATCGGAGACGGCTTCCGGAGTTCCGGATGTGGGATCCGAGCAATGCCGGTTCCCGAAACTCGAAGAATGCGCCCATTTCCACTATGAAAAAGTCCAATTACCTCCTTTAGAAGTTTCCCTTCACTCACCGATGGATAAAAGCTTGCATTCGCATAATAGTAAGAAAAAAGTTTTTATTGTATCATCTTTTAATAACAATTAAATTAATTTTTAGGTTCTGATCACCAAGAAAACGAAGAATATTACACCCTCCAAGTAACCTCAGGCGACGAATGTTGGTTATTACAACGCACCGTTGAGAATTTTCGTTTATTCGACGCCCAACTCCACCAGTGCATTTACGACAGGAAAATTTCTCATCTTCCCAACCTCTCGGAGCCTCAAAGTCTGGAGCGAGACCCCGAACACGTCCTCGATTCTTATTTAAGGGAGTTTTGTTCGATCGCTAACAACTCATTAAATTGTGGCCCCGTTTTGAATTGGCTTCAAATGGATAATCGAGGGCACCGATTGTTGGTGCCGAGCGAGGAGAGTCGGTCGATTAATACTCCGGCGGTTGCGGCTGCCTATAGCGTTAGAAGATACGTGTCCCAAGCGAGGGATGAACTCGATTTGGAGGTGGGGGATATGATTTCGGTGATTGATATGGCGAGTCCTGGCGAATCGGTTTGGTGGAGAGGAAAGAGGGGGTTTAAAGTTGGATTTTTTCCGCAACATTGTGTTCATATCATCGGGGAGAAAGTGCCCAGGAATATGCCGTTACCACCACCTGTAGTTGGGTGAGTCATTTTATTATTTATTTTTAATCAAGATAAAAAAAAAAATTATTTTTGAGGTTATTTCCGATAATAATTAATTGATTTTTAATCTAGATTAAAATCCTTTAACATATATTGCGATTATATTGAGAAATTACTGAAATTTGGGTTACTTCCGGTTGTAAATTTCCGGAATTTACTCTTCTGCGATCTAATAACGAATACAGAGGTCGAACAAATCCGAACTAATCCGAACAAACCCGAGCGAACCCGAACGATTTTTACTTCGTAATACTACTTTGTGTATACAAAATCAAGGGTCATTTTCACTAATTTATACAAAATAAATAATAATAGGCGGATTTTACTGGTAGGAATTTTTTATCTAGAAGAAAAAAAAGAAGATCGGTTGAAAATTGGTCTTAAATAGTTACATTTTACTTTACTTGAGAATAGCTCATTAGAAATGTGTAGTTAAAATTTGGAATTAATCGGCTGTTTCAAAAAACGGCGTAATATTGAAGTTATTGCTATAGAAATTACAAATCTGTAATGGTGACTATTCATAAAAACACTTTTTGGATTATTTAAGAAATTGTCCTTCATATAAACACTTTTGGATATTATTTTTGAATAGTCAAGAAAGTACTTAAGCCAATAAAGAATTACAAGGTGGTATAACACCCTTTAAAAAGGTGTTAAAAGGATTTTGGTAGCAATATTTCGTCTTCTATAAGAAGGAACTGCCTCATTGACAATATCTTGGTCTTGTGCCAACAATATTTCGTGTTCTGCTAGTAGTATTTAGTCTTCTGGCAGAAGTATTTCGTCTTCTGGTAGCAGTATTTTGTCTTCTATAAGAAGGAACTGCCCCATTGACAATATCTAGTCTTCTGCCAAAAGTATTTAGGCTTCTGGCAGCAGTATTTAGACTTCTGTCGGCAATATTTAAATTTCTATCAGCAGTATTTAGTCTTCTGCCAACAGTAATTTGTCTTCTGATAGCAGTGTTTTCTTCTATAAAAAGGAACTTAACCATATCTTCTTTCAGCACTATCTAGTGGTTTGACTTCTGTTGGCAGTATTTAGATTTCTACCAGCATTATTTAGTTCTTTTCCAGCAGTATTTCGTTTTTTGGAAGCAATGTTTCCTTCTATAAAAAAGAATTGTACCTTTCGCCATATCTACTCTTCTTTCAGTACTATCTAGTCTTTTGCCAACACTATTTCGACATCTAGTAGCAGTATTTAGTCTTCTGTCAGCAATATTTAATCTTCTTCCAGCCGTATTTAATTTTCTGGTAACTGCGTGTAGTCTTTTACAAGGAGGATCTGCTCCATTAACAATATCTAGTCTTCTGACAGCAGTACACGGTCTTCTGTCAGTAGTATTTAGTTTTCTGTCAGTAGTGTTTTGTCTTCTGCCAACAATATTTAGTGTTCTGTCAGCAGTATATCGTCCTCTTGCAGCAATATTTCGTCCATTTTCAGCCGTATTTAGACTTTTGGAAACTGTGTGTAGTCTTCTATAACAGGGATCTGCGCTATTAACAATATCTAGCGTTCTGGCAGCAGTAAATGGTCTTCTGTCAGCAGTTTTTCGTCTTCTGCCAATAGTATTTAGTGTTCTATAGGCTATATCTAGTTTTCCAGCGGTATTTTTCGTCTTCTGAGAGCAATATTTCGTGTTCTGCCAGCAGTATTTCGTATTTTGTTTTCTGGAAACCGTGTGTAGTTTTCTATAAGGAGGATCTGCCCTATTAACAATATCTAATCTTTTGCCAGCCGTGTTTAGTCTTTTTCCAGCAATATTTAGTCTCTCTAGCAGTATTTAAGCTTTTGTCAGCAGTATTTATGCTTTTGGTAGCAGTATTTAGTGTTGTGGCGGCAGTATTTAGTCTTTCAGCAGTATTTCAATTTCTGGCAGTCATATTTAGTCTTCTGGTAACTGTGTGTAGTCATCTGTAAGAAGGATCTGCCCCATTAACAATATCTAATCTTGTGCCAGCAGAGTTTAGTCTTTTTCCAGCAGTATTTTGGTTTCTGCCAGCAGTATTTAGGCTTTTGTCAGCAGTATTTATGCTTCTGGTAGCAGTATTCAGTGTTGTGTCGGCAGTATTTAGTTTTTCAGCAGTATTTTATCTTCTGGCAGTGATATTTAGTCTTCTGGTAACTGTGTATAGTCATTTGTAAGAAGGATCTACCCCATTAACAATATCTAATTTTCTGCCAGCAGTGTTTAGTCTTTTTCCAGCAGTATTTAGTCTTTTTCCAGCAGTATTTAGTCTTTTTTCAGCAGTATTTAATCTTTTTCCAGCAGTATTTAGGCTTCTGCCAGCGATATTTCCGTTTCTACCAGCCGTATTGCGTCTTCTGCCAGTAGTATTTCGTCTCTTGCTAGCAATATTTAGTCCATTAGCAATATCTAGTATCTGCCAGCAGAAATTAGGCATATGGCGTAACAACCAAAACTTTTCTACCTCTAGCCACCCTCCTCCATACTTGAACACCCAAAAGATCACGTGTATTTCATTCTATCCAAGGTTCTTTTTGACAACCTCTCTCTCTCTATTCTCGCCGCAATTAATTTACCAAGATAAAGGTTACTTCCGGTTACTAACTTCCGCTTTTAATTAAATTTTAATAATTTAAATTTGATAAAGTATCGATTAATATTAAATAAACCTAAATTCCGCAAATTATTTTTAAGAATAACTCATATTTGGGTTACTTCCGGTTATCAATTTCCGGTTATCAAAAATTAATTATTCAAATTCAACGAACTTTTAATTCTTACAATAAAATTATTCTCGCTCAAATGATTTTTTTTAATTTTAAAAATAACAAAAATTAAGGGTACTTCCGGTAATTAATTTCCGGTTATTAACTTCCGGTTTCTATTTTTGAAGATAAACCCGCCGTGTTTGGGCTCATTTTAATCAGCTTTTAATTTTAAGCAACATTATTTTTATAAAAATCACATTTAATTAATTTTTTTAAATTTATTTATTTTTTTAGATCTTTGGTTGTGAGCCCCATGAAACCCGTTCTCCGCAAACACGGCAAATTAATCGCATTCTTTCGAAGTTTCATTTTAAACCGGCCATCCCGCCGCCGATTAAAGCAATCGGGAATTCTAAAGGAGCGCGTTTTCGGTTGCGATCTCGGCGAACATCTATCGAACAGCGGAAATAACGTTCCGACAGTTTTGAGATGTTGCGCCGAGTTCATCGAAAAAAACGGCATCGTAGACGGCATCTATCGACTCTCCGGGGTAACTTCGAACATCCAAAAGCTACGCAACGCCTTCGACGAGGATCGAATCCCTAATTTATACACAGAAGAAATTTTACAAGACATCCATTCGGTTGCTTCGCTTCTTAAAATGTATTTCCGGGAGCTTCCAAACCCTCTTTGCACTTATCAGTTGTACCAAAGCTTCGTTAACGCCGTTCAAGGTTGTAACCCGGCTGTTAGAAGTTCCGATACCGACCACGAGAGGTTGTTAAAAATGAGAGAGGCGGTCCAAAAATTACCCCCACCTCATTACCGGACGTTAGAGTATTTAATGCGACATCTCGCGAGAGTTGCAAAACATGGAAATCGAACCGGGATGACCACGAGGAACGTTGCGATCGTTTGGGCGCCGAATTTGTTACGATCCGAAGAGTTGGAAGGAGGCGGAGTCGCCGCGCTTCAAGGAGTTGGGGTCCAAGCCGTTGTAACGGAATATTTAATTTGTTACACTGACTTAATATTTTGCGATCGACTCCCCGCTTCAGTTACAACAGCTTTAAATTTGAACAAATCCCATCAAATTCATCACCAATTCCCGATTGAGAACGTGATTTCTTCCCCGAAACGGGGAAGACCCAAAAGCTTAGCGATTTCCACCCCCACTAAATTAATCACTTTGGAGGAGGCGCGAAATAAACATCACCAATTAAATCGAGGGGATGATTGTGGGGGGTACATCGAGGTTGGAGGAGGCCCCAAGAATTTGCCGAAGAAGTATCATACGATTATTGAGTTACCAAGTGGTGAGGATTTAAATTTAATTAATTTAATTTTTCCTCAAAGACTGCGATATTTTTTTTATAACGTAGAATTTTGAGCTGATTCTGAAACTGTCTTCAGTTTTTCTTCATCACGTCCAGTTTTCACATTAATAATTTTTAATTATATTAATTATTGAGGTTATGATTTAGTAATGTTTTAATGAACGTAGCCTAATCCGTTAAAATTTAATTTTTTCGAGGTTGGCACTAATTTATTCACTAATGTCAAAGTAAAAAAAGCTAACCTCAAAATTATGCTTACGCGTTTTTCGTTAATAATATTTAATTTATTCTTATTATAAACGATTTTAAAATGTTTTAAGCGTTTATTAATCAATTTAATCGTACTTAGCTTCAACTTAAACAATAAAATGAAGTTTTAATTTGAGGAAAAACAAAAAAAATTAATTGTAGCCTGTATAACTACAAAATGTCACTTGTAAACAAATATAAACAAAATGACGTTTTAATATGTCATCTGTCATGTTCTTGAAGACGTCGGTCGACTCCTACAATAAAAAGTTAGGTTAGAAACTGTCAAATGTCAAAATTAATAATAAATTATATTCTCCTATTACATTATGCAACTCTTTGAATGTTGGAAATAAAATTAAAACTAGAAACTTGTGGGTTATGCCGCGCGTCTCGACGTCAAATGTCAAAATTAAATATAACGATTTTATAACGAAAAAGAAATTTACTTACTTTTTTAGCATAAATGGACAGAAAATTAAAAATGCTTTAAAATGAGCCCAAACTCGACCTATTTATCTCAAACCGTTATCAAGATATCTTAATTTTTACCAAAAAAAAATGGTGGTTATTTGACATTTGACACTTTCTAACCTAGCTTTTTTATTTTTTAACCCAACATATCATGTTTGGTATCAAATTAAAGCATTTTTGGTTCTTATTAAAATCATGTTAATATTTATCAAAAAAATCGTTGTTTAATTTTGACATTTGACAGTTATTAACCCAACTTTTTTATTTTGTAACCCAAATATATCGTGTTTGGTATCAAATTAAAGCATTTTTGATTCTTATTAAGATCATTTCAATATTTATCAAAAATTATTATATTTAATTTTGACATTTGACAGTTATTAACCCAACTTTTTTATTTTTTAACCCAAATATATCGTGTTTGGTATCAAATTAAAGCACTTTTGATTCTTATTAAGATCATTTCAATATTTATCAAAAATTATTATATTTAATTTTGACATTTGACAGTTATTAACCCAACTTTTTTATTTTTTAACCCAAATATATCGTGTTTGGTATCAAATTAAACCATTTTTGATTCTTATTAAGACCATCTCAATATTTATCAAAAATCATTATATTTAATTTTAACATTTGGCACTTTCTAACCTAGCTTTTTTATTTTTTAACCCAAATATATCGTGTTTGGTATCAAATGAAAGCATTTTTGATTCTTATTATGATCATTTCAATATTTACGAAAAAATCGTTATATATAATTTTGACATTTGACAGTTATTAACCCAACTTTTTTATTTTTTAACCCAAATATATCGTGTTTGGTGTCAAATGAAAGAATTTTTGATTCTTATTAAGATCATTTCAATATTTATCAAATTTCATCATCAAAAATTGTTATATATTGGTAAAATAATATTGATTTCAGTGAATTTAATGTTTATACTTAGTGTTAGGTATCATATTTTTGGCGATTTCTCGAAAACTGGAGAAAAACTTAACACAGTTTCAGAATCAGCTTAAGATCAATCTTCGAAATTTTTCTTGTAAACTAGTATTATTAATTTAATTTAACTAATTTCGTTTTAGGGAGAAAGAGGCACTCTTCCGGGTGGAGATCTTTTTTCTCAAAGAGCCGATACAGCTCTCAAAATACTTTGCCAAAAAGCCGGAAAGCTTCAACTCCGGGTGTTATAACAGCAGAAAAAAATTTGACCGATGCCACGTTATTAGAAGCCAAAAGGAAGTTGAGATCGGTTAAATCAGCTGAAAGTTTAACATCCGGTGCCTCAGAAATCCCCCAAAACAACGAAATTGATAGTTTAGGCCCTTTACAAAGTTTGCAAAAAGCTCCAGGACATAATAGGTTAAATGAATTAATTAAATTAATTAAAACAAAATTAACTGAATTAATTTTAGGTCTGTTTCTCATGATTCATATTTCGACCTCCTCCAAACGTCGTCTCAAAACAACTCTGAAGGATCTTTACTCGATTTGAGCGAGATCCAATTAAATTTCGATCTGGAAGAATCGGAAATGAGGATCTTCTCAGAAGACGAAAGCTTGGTTAGTTCCCCACGGATCGTCCAAAAAGACCCATCATACCGTCGTTATTTATCCCGCCCCATCAACCCGACATCGTCATCCCCGAAAAAGCAACCCCGCGTCGTCGTCTCTCCCGAATCGATATCATCGCGGAAACGAACCCGCCTCGAAGACCAATTATCCGACATCCAATACATCGATTGTGGCACCCCCGACAACAACATCCCCCAATCGAATTCGTGCTTAATTGAGCCTACCATCACGACGGCCGTTGTGCATCAAATTCCGGAGATTGAGAAAGTTGAGCCGAAAAGTAAGAGTCCTCGGAGTTGCCCCGATTTAGAAAGTAAGGTTAAAAGGCAAAGTTTGAATTTGGACGAGAGGAAATTGATGGTTGCCGGGGAAGGAATGGTAAAGTCTTCCACCGATATCGATTTGGGGGCCAAATTATTAACGCCAACCCCGCAATCTCCGGGTTATAAACGCTTGAATGAGTCGAATGGAAGCAGTCCGATCGATTTTAATCCCGCGGAGTTGTTTTATCAACAATTAAAAGCTAGTTTTGGTGAGTACAATTTTTATTTTGACGTAAATTTTTGAAGTTACGATTTTTTAATTTTTTAATGAACGTAACCTAATTCGTTAAAGTTTAATTTTTTCGAAGTTGGCACTAATTTATTCATTAATGTTTAACTAATATTTAATTTATTTTTATTATAAACTATTTTAAAACGTTTTAAGCGTTTATTAATCAATTTAATCAAACTTAGCTTCAATTTAAACAAAATGAAGTTTTAATTTATCAAATTTGTCACATTAGAAAATGATAAATGTCACTTGTAAAGCTAGAAATGTCAGAAATAGAAACTTAAAATATGTTAATAAAAAATGACATTGATGTGTCACTTCACAAATGTCACTTGTCAAATTAGAAATATTACAAATATAAACAAAATGATGTTTTAATATGTCACCTGTCATGTTCTCGAAGTCGTCGGTCGACTCTGAGCATAAAATGTCAAAATTAATATGTATATCACATTATGCAGCTCTATGAATGTTCGAAATAAAATTAAAACTAGAAACTTGTGAGTTATGCCGCGCGTCGAGACGTTTCTAGTTCCAATTTTATTTCTACTAACAGTCGCCGTAAAACCCATCAAAATTGCTTTCATTTGATATCAAACACGATATATTTGGGTTAAAATTAAGTTATAAACTGTCAAATGTCAAAATTAAATATAACGAAAAAAAATTTTTGTTATAAAGATGTTCTTTTTTTAACATAAATAGATAGAAAACTAAAAATGCTTTAAAATGAACCCAAACTCGATTTATTTATCTCTAACCGTTATCGAGATATGTCAATTTTTACCAAAAACAAAATGGCGGTTATTTGACAGTTTCTAACCTAACTTTCTATTTTTTGATCCAAACATATTGTGTTTGGTATCAAATGACAGCATTTTTGAGTCTTATTAAGATGATTTCAATATTTATCAAAGAATCGCTATATTTAATTTTGAAATTTGACAGTTCCTAACCTAACTTTTTTATTTTTTAACCTAAATATGTCATGTTTAGTATCAAATGACAGCATTTTTGATTCTTATTAAGATCATTTCAATATTTGTCAAAAATCTTTATATATAATTTTGACATTTGACAGTTTTTAACCTAACTTTTTTATGTTTTAACCAAAGTATATCGTGTTTGGTATCAAATGAATGCATTTTTGATCCTTATTAAGATCATTTCAATATTTACTAACAATCATCGTAAAACCCGTCAAAAATGCTTTAATTTGATACCAAACATGATATATTTGAGTTAAAACTGAAAAAAGTTAGGTTAGAAACTGTCAAATGTCAAAATTAAATATAACGAAAAAGAAATTTAATTACTTTTTTAACATAAATGAACAGAAAATTAAAAATGCTTTAAAATGAACCCAAACTCGACTTATTTATCTCTAACCGTTATCAAGATATCTTAATTTTTATCAAAAAAAAATGGCGATTTGACATTTGACAGTTATTAACCCAACTTTTTTATTTTTTAACCTAAGTATATCGTGTTTGGTATCAAATGAAAGCATTTTTGATCCTTATTAAGATCATTTCAATATTTTTCCAAAATCGTTATATTTAATTTTGACATTTGACAGTTTCTAACCTAACTTTTTTATTTTTTAACCTAAATATGTCATGTTTGGTATCAAATGAAAGCATTTTTGATACTTATTAAGATCATTTGTCAAAAATCGTTATATATAATTTTGACATTTGACAGTTTTTAACACAAATATGTTATTATATATGTTTAGTATCAAATAAAAGCATTTTTGATTCTTATTATGATCATTTCAACTTAGGTTAGAAACTGTCAAATCTCAAAATTAAATATAATGATTTTATAACGAAAAAAATTTTTTTTTGCTTATAAAGGTGTTCTTTTTTTAACATAAATGGATTGAGAACTAAAAATGCTTTAAAATGAACCCAAACTCGACTTATTTATCTCTAACCGTTATCGAGATATCTTAATTTTTACCAAAAACATGGCGATTATTTGACATTTGACAGTATTTAACCTAACTTTTTATTTTTAAACCCAAATATATAGTGTTTGGTATCAAATGAAAGCATTTTTGATTTTTATTAAGATCATTTCAGTATTTATCAAAAATCGTTATTTTTAATTTTGACATTTAACAGTTTCTAACCAAATTTTTTCATTTTTTAACCCAAATATATCATTTTTTGTAAGTTGTAATTTTTTAATGACCGTAGCCTAATGCGTTAAAGTTTAATTTTTTCGAGGTTGGCATTAATTTACTTACTAATGTCAAAGTAAAAAAAGTTAACCTCAAAATTAATATTAAATTTTTGTCTTATGAACGATTTTAAAATGTTTTAAGCGTTTATTAATCAATTTAATGGAATAATTCAAGAATAACAAGATCTCCTAAAAATCAACGATTTTTTTTTAATTAATAAAAAATAACCTAAAAAAGACGTTTATAATAAAAAAAAAATTTGAGGTTACGATTTAGTAATTTTTTAATGAACGTAGCCTAATCCGTTCAAATTTAATTTTTTCATTTTTTTCGAGGTTGGCGCTAATTTATTTACTAATGTCAAAGTAAAAAAAGCTAACCTCAAAATTATTTTTACGCTTTTTTCGTTAATAATATTTAATTTATTCTTATTATAAACGATTTTAAAACGTTTTAAGCGTCTATTAATCAATTTAATCAAACTTCGGATCAATTTAAACAGTAAAATGAAGTTTGAATTTGTCAAAATCTAAGTGTTTACGTCAATTTTTCTTTTTTAGAGGAAAAACACCAAGAAAACGTATACGAAAACTTCTCCCCCGTGTTAATATCGAAGCCTGCAAAATCTCCGACGTACGAAAACGTTTTAACAACAATCAGCATAACCTATAAGTCCCCCACGAAGCGATTCTCGAACACCCCGCTGCTACAACCTCAATTAACTCAAAGCAATCAAAGTTGTAGCAGCTCAACAAACGATCTTTCTATTTATGAGGACGTTTCGGTGAATATAACCGAAAAAGCTCCAGTTCCCATTGAGCCGTTAGCGGTTCTTCCGACTCAAGAAGCGAATCAGCCGGAAATAGAAATCGAAAAGGATCGGAAAAGCGAGCAAAGACCGAAAAGTTTGAGCGCTCTCGAAGATTTAAAAGGAAATTTAAGCACCTCCGCCGTTTGTAACTCACGAAGCGAAGCTCGGACTTTAAGTTCAAACAACGAAACTTTATTAAAGAGTTCCGAAACGACTCTAAACTCGAATTCTTCAGTTTCTTCGTCGGAATTTAACGCAAACATGACGAATTCAACGACGAGTTCGAGCTTATTCCAACAAAAGGATGCTTCTGAGTTGAGTATGAGCGAGGTTGGGGCGAGTTCTTCCGAAAATTTAACTGGAAATCAATTTAGTTGCCCCATAACGCCCACCCAAAACAGTTTAAGCCCTAATGTGAGTCAAAATGAGTCATCAGAAATCGAAGGGAGGATGGATAAAAGGAAATCAAGCGAAACTTTAGACGAAGAAAACGTTATTTATCAACAAGTTAAATATTTTAGGAGATCAATTCACGAAATTAACGCTTTATTGGAGCTTGGGGGTAACAAAAACGATTTAGATGGGCACATTTACGAGAATGTCGACGATAAAGTTGATTTAATCGAGGTTAAAGATGATCAAGATGTCCAAATGGAGTTAAAAGAGGAAATTGAAGAAGACGTTTTGGAGAAAGTCGATGTGAAATTGTTAAAAAAAAATTTTGAGGTTAATTCGACTCAAAATTTGAATCAAAATTCGAAATTGAATCCGCCGTGTGTTCGATTAAGGAATTTAAAGCATACGGTTAAAACGAGATCGTTGGATGAAAACGATTTTAATAAAGAGGTGTTTGAAAAGAACCCGGATGACGATGATTCGTCGTCGGTGCCACGAAGGAAATCGTTGGACGAAGAGAATTTGTCGTTTTCAACGTTGAAAAGTGAAGAAATTGAGGGCGATAAAAAAATTGGATTGGTCAAGGTCGATTTGACGGAGCAAAAATTGAATCGTGAAAGAATCGAAAAGTACAAAGAGGAACGCAGGAAAGTGTTGCATGAGAAGTATCGTTCGGAAAGTTTTAAAGAGGATAAAGATGTGTTATTGAGCAGGTTAAAATTGAAAAGGAATTCGGAAAAAAATCGATTTCCTTTCGATGAGATGGAAGAAATTGAAACTAATTTGGAAAAGAAAATTGATAACGAAAGGATAGAATCTCCACCAATTAATTTAGAAACGAAAAGTTGTGGATTAAAAAGTTTGACGGCGAAGTTTGAGTCTCAAATTTTAGATTCTCCGCGAAGGAAAGTTAATGTTTCTGATGGATGTCTTGGAGATGGGAGTGGGGGTAGTTGTGATAATAATAGTGGTGGTGAGACGACGACATCGACAAAGTTGGATGTGTCAGAAGAAATTTTAAGGAATCGTAGGAATGGGAATGAATTTTTGGGTGGTTTGGTGAGGTGTTCGAGACGAAGACACACGTTCGATGCCAGGGAAAGGGAGGGGACGGCTCCACCGGAAATTGGAGATGAAAAAGCGGGGTTGGTTGGATCGAGGAGGAGTGTTGATGCGAAATCTCCAAGGTAAGATTTCAAAATCATTGGAACGGGCGTTAAATTCCCTTCAATTTAATACCAAACTCGATCAATTTATTTTAAATACTTTAAAAGATAACCTTAATTTTGTTAAAATCCAAGATGGCGGGTTGTCAAATTATTTTTTTGTGTCATCAATTGAAAGGTGTTTGAAACGTCTTTTGAAAGGTGTAAATGTAAAAAATATTGTTTTTGAAATGTGATGACGTTTTAATATGTCACCTGTCATGTTATGTTAGAAACTGTCAAATATACTGTCAATATTAATATGTAATTCCTTATATCACATTATGCAACTGTATGAATATTAGAAATAAAATTAAAACTAGAAACTTGTGGGTTATGCCGCGCGTCGAGACGCGCGGCATAACCTCCAAGTTTCTAGTTTTAATTTTATTTCTACTAACAATCATCGTAAAACCCGTCAAAAATGCTTTAATTTGATACCAAACATGATATATTTGAGTTAAAACTAAAAAAAGTTAGGTTAGAAACTGTCAAATGTCAAAATTAAATATAACGAAAAAGAAATTTAATTACTTTTTTAACATAAATGAACAGAAAATTAAAAATGCTTTAAAATGAACCCAAACTCGACTTATTTATCTCTAACCGTTATCAAGATATCTTAATTTTTATCAAAAAAAAAATGGCGATTTGACATTTGACAGTTATTAACCCAACTTTTTTATTTTTTAACCTAAGTATATCGTGTTTGGTATCAAATGAAAGCATTTTTGATTCTTATTAAGATCATTTCAATATTTATTAAAAATCATTATATTTAATTTTGACGTTTGACAGTTTCTAACCTAACTTTTGGTATCAAATGAAAGCATTTTTGAAATGAACATAATAAGAATCAAAAATGCCTTAATTTGATACCAAACACGATATATTTGGATTTAAAAATAAAAAAGTTAGGTTATGAACTGTCAAATAACCACAATTTTTTTGCAAAAATTAATATATCTCGATAACGGTTAGAGATAAGTAAGTCGAGTTTGGGTTTATTTTAAAGCATTTTTAATTTTCTGTCCATTTATATTAAAAAATAATATCCTTTATAACCAAAAAATTTTGTTCTTGACGATATAATTGACATTTCAAAAGGATACTGACCTTACCTAACATTCTTTCCCGAGATGATTGACAATTTGTAAACAAAACTACCCTTCCATAACATTTTTTTCCCGAATGATTGACGTTTTGTATAATTGTACAGGCCGTTTTCGAAGACATCGGCCGCCCCGCGGTAGATTAACCTTAAATGTTTTTTGACAAGTGACGTAATTGGTTTTTTTTTTTTTTTGGTTGGTACAAATGTAATACAACTTCACTTTGACTTTAATTTTTTTAACCGTAAATATATTTGATTAGTGACATTTATAAAGTGACAAATGGCGCAGTTAGTATTTTTTTTATTTTTAGGTTGGTACAAATTTAATGCAACGTCACTTTGACTTTAATTTTTTTAATCGTAAATATATTTGATTAGTGACATTTATAAATTGACTCAATTGGTATTTTTTTTTATTTTTGGGTTGGTACAAACTAAATAAAACGTCACTTTAACTTTAATTTTTTTTAACCCTAAATATCTTTTGACAAGTGACGTTTATAAAGTGATAAATGACACAATTGGTGACTTTTTTTTTGGGGGGTTGGTACAAATTTAATACGTCACTTTGAGGTTAATTTGTTTTTTCTTTTTTAATAATTAATTTGATTTAATTTTGTAGGAAAGAAAAGACTTCACCGTCTCTCTGCATTAAAGACATGAAGGCAATCTTCGAATCTAAGTCCCAACAGTGATCTACAGCGTAAGATATTATGACCAAATCATTAATATATAACATTAATTATAAAATAAAGTAATTAAAAAAAAATAGTTAGGAGTTTCATCAGACCGACAAATATTTATCTTTAATTTTTAATAACATTTTTTATTTTATTTAAACATTTCTCTTCACCGAGTTTATCTGTTGTTTTTTTTTCTTTCTTTCCATTTTTTTACTCATCCAATCATAATTTTGTTTTATTATTTTATTATTATTATTATTATAGTTATTATCTATTAAAGACTGTTATACATTTCTTTCTTTTTTGCTATTAATTAATTAATAAATTAATTAATGAATTAACGACAAGTTGTGCGTGGTAGTATTATTTGAAATTAAAATAAAAAAGAGATGATATAAAAATATAAATAATAAATATATTTTTTCTCTTTACACCAAAAAAGTTTGGTTGCTTTAGAAAAATGGCAGCGATCGTAAAAAGAAAATAATTAAAATAATTAAATATATAGCTAAAAGAAGAATTAGAATTTTTGAATATTGTTATTAAATATTATTAAAAAATGGAGTGAATCTATATATTAATATTATATATTTGAAAAATTAAAAAAAATAAATTTTAATATTTAAAATAATAGACAATAACATAAATAAATCAGTTTTCCGTTTTTTATACCATTTTTTATATACAATTTTTTTTCTTTTTCGCTTTGGAGTATAGCTTTAAAACAAAATGAAATATTTATTTGAATTAATTAATTAATCACCTTGAAAAGTGTAAATATAGTTTTCTTTTTTGTTGTAATTTTTTTCGGACTTTGTATCACAAAAATTAATTTTTTTATTAAAAAAAAAATGTAAATATGTAACTACGCTTTATATATATATATATATTTGAAAAAGTATATTAATTTTCAGTTTTGTTAAATAAATTTCGTGTAAAGCAAAAAGTTCGTTTTCATTTTAACTTTCTTTTTTGTATAATTGGTGTTTACTGTTTTGAAATCGTAAGTTTTACGGGTTTTACGTTAGCCGAGTTTCGAACCATCATTTGTTTATCAAGTAGCGCCATCTATTATTCACACGTTGAATTATTGCCAAAATAGGATTGGTTGGAAACTCGGCTAATGAAAAAAGTATACCGGGTGTCTCAAATAAATATTGAAAATTCGATTTTTCGGGACGAAATTTTTTAAAATTTATATTCTATTTGAATCACCCGGTATAATTTTCTCATTAGCCGAGTTTCGAACCATCGTTTGTTTATGAATTAGCGCCATCTATTATTCACACACTGAATTATTGCCGATATTAAATTGGTTCGAAACTCGGCTAAGGAAAAAAGTATACCGAGTGGCTCAAACAAAACTTGAAAATTTGATTTTTCGGGACGAAATTTTTTAAAATTTATATTCTATTTGAATCACCCGGTATAATTTTTTCATTAGTCGAGTTTCGAACCATCGTTTGTTTATAAATTAGCGCCATCTATTATTCACACGCTGAATTATTGCCAATATTGGATTGGTTCGAAACTCGGCTAAGGAAAAAAGTATACCGGGTGGCTCAAACAAAAATTGAAAATTCGATTTTTCGGGACGAAATTTTTTGAAATCCATATTCTATTTGAATCACCCGGTATACTTTTTTCATTAGCCGAGTTTCGAACCATCGTTTGTTTATAATGTAGCGCCATCTATTATTCACACGCTGAATTATTGCCAAAATTGGATTGGTTCGAAACTCGGCTAATAAAAAAAGTATACCGGGTGGTTCAAATAAAAATTGAAAATTCGATTTTTCGGGGCGAAATTTTTTTAAAATAGAACTTTAATTTGAATCATCCGGTATAACTTTTTCATTAGCCGAGTTTCAAACCATCAATACCGTCTAATGTGGCGCCATCTATTTTTAAGATTTCAAACTATCGGTAAACTTAGGTTGGTTTGAAACTGGGCTAATAAAAAAATTATACCGGGTGGTTCATACGAAAATTGAAAAATTAATTTTTCGAAACGAAATTTTGCAAAATCGATCATTTATTTGAGCCACCCGGTATAATTTTTTCTTTAGCCGAGTTGCAAACCATCTGTGTTTTATAAAGTGGCGCCATCCGTTATTTAATTGCGGAACTAATCGAAATTAATTTTGAAATGTGGTTGGTTTGAAACATGGCTAATGAAAAAATTATACCGGGCGATTTTTTATTTTCAGTTTTAAAGTTAATTTTATGGTGTTATTATTTTACCGGCTTAATTTGGACTGGGATAAGGAAAAATTAAAACCAACTAGTGCGAAATTAAATTATATTTATAGCATAAAAATTAAAAAAATAAAGGGGGGTAGAACAGGAACTATTATTTTGTTTTCATAAATTAATTGTGATCAGCTATCTAGATCAGCTATCAACCATCATCTTTCCATCGATATCTATGTAACTGGGCACAATATCCTTGGTGGATTCTTATTAAACTTTTAATACTTCGCATTGGACTCAATATCTACAAAAAAAATATATTTTTATTATTAAAGTTTGAGGAGTACAGTTTCTTTAAAAAGCTTTGTTATCGTCAAAAAAATTTAATTTTGATCATAGTTTAGCAATTGTTTGTTAGGATGAGCGCCACCTGCGGGTGAGTAGCTAAATTAATTAATGTCAAAAAAAAATTATTTTTCTTTCATTATTTTTTGATAATAAATTTAGATTAGATCTAAAAAATCGAATCGATTAACATTTAGATTTAGAAATTTCGGACCAGTTTTTATTGTATTTTTAATGTCACACGGAATGACTCAAACAAAACCTTAATTAATTCAAAGAACCTTGAATCTCTAAGCGTTATAATCATCGCGCTTAGATCTTTAGAAAGACGTGGAATATTTTCAAATATCAATAAATATATCATAAATCGCGTGCATAAATCGAGTCAATTACTCGTTAAATTCGAAAAAATGAAAAGAAAGTTGTCCCAAATGCTAAATCATCCACATAATTAGCGACTTCTTCGGTTTTAACTTATAATTTTGCGATTATGATGACGGCTTTCTTTTTTATAACAACAGGATGTTAAGAATTGTTGTATAAGAATTAAAAATAGTTAAAATAATTAAGCCTTTTGTGTAATCCTAGGTAATAATGAATTTGTGGAATCAGTGTCAATGATACAAAAGCAAGAATTAGGTTCATTGTCTGCTTGGGCTTTTTTTTAAACACAATGGGATTGTTTTGTTGGAACCTTCGTGGTTCATTATTTTAGTTTCGCATAGATTTGTTAAAAAGTTTGATGATTCATTCGATTAATTGATGCTGATTGATTTTATCCTTGAATTAAATCAGGAAAAAACCATCCAAAAACGTTTAAAAAAAAAGATTTTCTTAAATAAAATTGCTTAACAAATCTAGGTCAAAAAATCGCGTTACAAAACACCCCTTGTTTTAAAATAAAACAACCTTTGTTCCCAAAGAGCTTTCTAAATCTCTTAGAATTTAACGAAAACTATAAAATCTGATTTCTTTTAAACACATCTACATATTTATCATCTTCTTTAGGAAAAAAATGATTTCCTGCAACCATAAAAAGAACAACACGCCTCGAATTCCCCACCATAAACGAAACAACACTCGAGGAGGTTTCGAAAGCTATAAAAGACTGGTTGTAAACGCGAAAGCGACAGTCAGTTATAAAAAGTGCGAGTGAAAACGTCCAAATTAAAATGAAGATTCTCCTTTTAATCACTTTCATCTCCGCCTTCGCTTTGGCCCAAGAAACCAAAGAAGCCGAAGCCCCCAAAACTTACAAACGATTAATCCCCGCCGATGTTTTAAGAGGTAATTCTTTTCCACTTTAATTAGAAAGGAAATAACGGTTCTAAAAAGAATTTTTAGGTGCGGTTCAAATTTAAATTAATCTAAAACAATATAAATAACTCACCAATTTCGTATTTCGCCTCTCGAGTAGGTGAAATCTCCGCCTCGATATTTGTCCCCTTTATTTCGATGCGATCTCGTCCTGCAACTTTCACTTTAACTCCTTTCTCACCTCCAAATTCGTACAACGAAACGTTTCTTTTCATTTTTGACATTTTCTTATGTTATAATCGGCGTTACCTAGCAACCAAGTAAATTTGAATTTCGATTTTTAGGGGTGCCAACTTAATTGTATCAATCGAAATAGTCCCTAAATAAACGTCAAAATGAATTTAATTCAAAATTCTTCTTAAACAACCCACCTTCAATTAAAATGATTTTCTTAATTCCGTTTAATGATAAATTTCCTCTTTTTAAAGCGAGAAAGAGGAGGAGATTGGGTTGGGTTTTAATAAAAGGAGGTTGCGTTTTAAAAGGTCGGTAATTTGCCGGAAACCTTGTATAATAGGGTCGCGTTTCTTTCTTGCACAACATCCCGCTTAACGACAACTACAACACGACTAATCTCGTTTCTCAACTCGTAAATTATTACACACATAACCCCACATCTCTTTCTTATCGCTTACTTATATAATTGTAATTATTAAATGAGATTTCCTCGGAATTTATTTCAAAAGAAACGTCGATAAAGATCTGGAATAAAAAAAAAACTATGTTTATAATCAAAGAAATTAATTCAAAATCAAAAACATAACCTCACTTTCTAATTTTGGCGTTTTAAATTTATTCCATCATCGAAATTGATTCAATTTTATTTAAATCGTTCCAATATCGCTTTATTTAACAATTTTATAAACAAATTTCGTTTAAATAATCGATTAAAAATAAATTAATTTTTGACAACAATCACAATAATGAAGTTAGCACCACTAATAAAATTGAGGTTATATTAATTATCGATTAATTATAATTAATTTGAGTTAATTAAAATAAAATTGAATTAATGATCATTTAAAACGTAAATAATCGTTTAGAATTAAATAATTTAATAAAAAATTATTAATAAAAAAATTAAAATGACAATAATGAAGTTGGCGTTAATAAAATTGAGGTTATGTTGAAAATTAGTTTTAATGTGTTTATTAAAAGAAATTGAAACAAAATTGGATGAAAATGTGTTAATTTATTAATAAAAGATGATGATGAAACGAATCATTAATAAATTACCTTAATAAAAGTGATAAATTTTGATAAAATGATTTCCGATACAACCAAAAATCTACTCGATACGACAAATCTCATTTCCCAACTCTTAAATCGTTACATAGATAACTCCACATTTCTTTCTTATCACTCATCAATGTGTTATCACAAAAGAAATTAATTCGAAACAAAAAAACCAACCTCACTTTCTAATTTTTGCGTTTTAAATTTATTCCATCATCGAAATTGATTCAATTTTATTTAAATCGTTCCAATATCGCTTTATTTAACAATTTTATAAACAAATTTCGTTTAAATAATCGATTAAAAATAAACTAATTTTTGACAACAATCACAATAATGAAGTTAGCACCACTAATAAAATTGAGGTTACATTAATTATCGATTAATTATAATTAATTTGAGTTAATTAAAATAAAATTGAATTAATGATCATTTAAAACGTAAATAATCGTTTAGAATTAAATAATTTAATAAAAAATTATTAATAAAAAAATTAAAATGACAATAATGAAGTTGGCGTTAATAAAATTGAGGTTATGTTGAAAATTAGTTTTAATGTGTTTATTAAAAGAAATTGAAACAAAATTGGATGAAAATGTGTTAATTTATTAATAAAAGATGATGATGAAACGAATCATTAATAAATTACCTTAATAAAAGTGATAAATTTTGATAAAATGATTTCCGATACAACCAAAAATCTACTCGATACGACAAATCTCATTTCCCAACTCTTAAATCGTTACATAGATAACTCCACATTTCTTTCTTATCACTCATCAATGTGTTATCACAAAAGAAATTAATTCGAAACAAAAAAACCAACCTCACTTTCTAATTTTTGCGTTTTAAATTTATTCCATCATCGAAATTGATTCAATTTTATTTAAATCGTTCCAATATCGCTTTATTTAACAATTTTATAAACAAATTTCGTTTAAATAATCGATTAAAAATAAACTAATTTTTGACAACAATCACAATAATGAAGTTAGCACCACTAATAAAATTGAGGTTACATTAATTATCGATTAATTATAATTAATTTGAGTTAATTAAAATAAAATTGAATTAATGATCATTTAAAACGTAAATAATCGTTTAGAATTAAATAATTTAATAAAAAATTATTAATAAAAAAATTAAAATAACAACAATGAAGTTGGCGTTAATAAAATTGAGGTTATGTTAAAAATTAGTTTTAATTATTTGAAACAAAATTGGATGAAAATGTGTTAATTTATTAATAAAAATCAATTAATTATAATAATTATTATTAAATTAGATTTCCCTGGGATGTGTTTTGCAAGTACTAAATGCGCCACCGTTGAGCCGGGTAAAAATTGGGATTTATTCCCGTTCTGCGGCCGATCAACTTGCGTTTTAAGCGAAGATCAACCACCAAGATTATTGGAATTGGTCGAAGATTGTGGGCCTTTACCTTTAGCGAATCCGAAATGTAAATTGGATGAAGGTAATTTATACCCCTTTTTTTAATTATAACTTATTAATCGATTAATTCATTTTAGAAAAAACCAATAAAACGGCTCCGTTCCCCGGATGTTGTCCGAAATTTGCTTGCGAAGAAGGCGTTAAATTAGAATACCCTGAAATCCCAACGGTCGCCCCCGTTCCGGAGGAAGTATCCACTAAACCCAGTGCAGAAAAAACATCTTAAATGCTTCTTTCTTTTATTTTTCCCCTTTATTTTCTTAATCTTCACTATTTCAAATACGATAATTAATTTAACACACCCCCGATGATTAATTTAGCTTATTATTAACTCCTTTTTTTTATAATTTTCGATTAGAATCGTTTTTGATTTATTTTTTGTACGTTGGTCTTGTAGATAAATGTGTCCAGAGAGAACTATAATAAAATACAATGTGATATCATCAAGGAAATTCCTTCAAAATAAACAACCTAACCTCACTTTTTAATTTTTGTGTTTTACATTTATTGTCTCATCCAAATTAACTAAATCTTATTTAAATCGATAAAATATCCTTTTATAATAATCTCCATTAATATTATAAACAAATTTCGTTTAAATAATCGATTAAAAATAAACTAATTTTTGACAACCATCACAATAATATAATGAAGTTAGCTCCATATGTCAATAAAATTGAGATTGTATCAATTTTTTGGGTTTATTTCAAGAAATTTGAATGAAAATGTATTAATTTATTGAGAAAAGATGATGAAACGAATCTTTAAAAGATTATTTTAATAAAACTCATTCCATTCAATCGATTCTTATCACCAATGACTTAATTCAACAAATTTTTTGCTCCATAATAAATATAAATTGATTCGTAACAATCTTTTCTTCATTTTTCATAATCACCGAGACAAAGATACTTTAAAATAACATAAATGGAGTAGACAAATCTAACAAAAATTGTGTTTAATACAATAACAAACATAACCTAACTTCTTAATTTCACTTTTATGCTTTTCAAATACATGGAAATCGTGTTAACTTCACCGAAATTAATTCTAAACGATTATTGAGCCATTTCGATACCATTTTATAATCATTTATCGATAATTATTAACTTTTTCGAATAAATTTCTTCAAACTATATTTGTTGTGTTGTCAAATGTCAATTAACTCAATAAGTAATACCAACCTAAATAATTTTCTTTTAAATTCGTTTCAATGATTAAAACAAATCAAATAATTAATTTATATAACTTAAGGATACATTGGTAATTAATTAATGTTTTCAATGATAAATTCATCAAAAAACTTAATTAATTGATTTTAATTAATTTTTTAACGAAACATTTTGATCGTTGCGCCATCTATTATCGTAGTACCACACTATAGTAAAATAAACATCTTTTAAGGTTTCTTTTATTGTTTTTAGTATAACAAAAAGATAATAATAATAAATTTATTATTATACGGTTCAATTGATTGCTTAATTCATTTTATTTATTAAATTAATTAATTGTGCGCATAACCATGAAAACGAGATCAAAACGTCGTTTTTGACAATTCATTTTGAATTTTTAGGTTAATTCTTAAAATAAATTGATTTATAATTTGAAATCAATAAAGTGGGATATTTGATGATTAATTAAATTAAAAAAAAAAAGAATAATAAACAACCTAACCTTATCTAATTTTCTTATTTTACATTTATTCGCTCATCCAAATTAACTAAATCTCGTTTAAATCGATAAAATATCCTTTTATAATAATCTCGGTTAATATTATAAATTATAAACAAATTTCTTTTCAATAATCGATTAAAAATAAATTAATTTTTGACAACAATCATGATAATGAAGTTAGCCCCATATGTCAATAAAATCGAGGTTATGTCAATTAATCTGGGTTTATTTCAAGAAATTTGAATAAAATTGAATGAAAATGTATTAATTTATTGAGAAAAGATGATGATGAAACGAATCTTTAAAAGATTATTTTAATAAAAGTTATCTGATTTAATCGATTCTTATCACCGATGACTCCGTTCAAGACATTTTTAGCTCCGTAATGAATATAAATTGATTCCTAATAATCCTTTCTTCACTTCTCATAATCAAGGAGACAAAGATACTCTAAAATAATATCAATGAAGTACACAAATCTAACAAAAATTGTGTTTAAATTATTATCACAATAACAAACATAACCTAACTTCTTAATTTCACTTAAATGCATTTCAAATACATGGAAATCGTGTTATCTTCACCCAAATTAATTCTAAACGATTATTGGGTCATTTCAATACCATTTTATAATCATTTATCGATAATTATTAACTTTTTCGAATAAATTTCTTCTTCTATTTATTGTGTTGTCAAATGTCAACTAACTCAATAAGCAATACCAACCTAAATACATTTTTTTTCTAATTCGTTTCAATGATTAAAACAAATCAAATAATTAATTTATATAACTTAAGGACATATTGGTAATTAATGTTTTTAATGATAAATTCATCAAAAAACTTAATTAATTGATTTTATTTAATTTTTTAACGAAAAATTTTGATCGTTGCGCCATCTATTATCGTAGTACCACACTATAGTAAAATAAACATTTTTAAGTTCTTTTTAATTGTTTTTCGTATAACTAATAATATAATAATAATAAATTTATTATTATACGGTTCAATTGATTGCTTAATTCATTTTATTTATTAAATTAATTAATTTAATAAATTAAATTTTTATTTGACAATTTAGCCACCTAGCGGGTTAAGTGCGCATTATCTTTCCTGTCAGATTTCTTCAAATTTTAGGTTATCAAGTAAGTTCTTAATAATTTCATTTATAAACGATTTAATATCTAATTCGTTTTTGAAAAAAAATTAAAGATGGGATTAATTAAAGTGAGGTTATGATTTTATTTAAGATTTCTTAATAAAAGGTGTATTTAAAACCCGAAGAATCCAAATATAATTTTATTTAGATAAGAATTAAATAATTTCGAGGTTATGTTTCATTAAATTGTGTCAAACTCATTTTAAATCTTTCCCAACTAAAAATTTTTTTATATATTTCTTACCAATTTTTAATTAATTTATTATTTTTTTTTATAAAATATAAATAATAAATTGGTGTTTTTATTTATTCCACGTTGGTACCACTTTTTTTTCAATTTGTAACCATGGAAACGAGATCAAAACGTCATTTTTGACAATTCATTTTGAATTTTTAGGTTAATTCTTAAAATAAATTGATTTATAATTAGAAATCAATAAATAAAATGTGTTACTTGACGATTAATTAAATTAAATTAAAAAATTTTGAGTAAATCAAACCTTTCTTAAATTGATCTTTGTCCTCAACATCATTGAATCGGCGTCGTCTCCGTCGTTTGCGTTATCGATTTTGAGCATTTCGTGTCGTCGTTCTCCTTTGGTCACTTTAGAGTCGGCGCGCGTGCGGGGCCCCCCTCTTCTTTCAACGCGAACGACCGAATCCAAACCAGAGCAGAACCCGAAAATACACACAGAAAACCCGCCGGCTCAAATCGAATACTTTTCCGCACGGTATTCGCCTCGCGTTTTCAAACACAAAAAATCGTTGTATGTTTTAACGAGATTTCCAGTGATTTTTTTTGATTCAAATCGAAACTTGAATCCTTTATTAATCCAATCGGGTCGATTACAGCCATGTGTTTTCGGATTTGAGTGAAACTGAAAAATAAAAAAGATTTATTAATATATTTTTAAGAAATTAAATTAAAATATGGTTACTTAAATGAGAATAATTTTGATTTATTAACGAAAAGAAATTTTTTTTGGGGGGGAATTATGACGAAACGTTTGTGTTAAGTGTTTTTGACGAAAATTAAGGATTAAAAATTGGAAAATGCCGGGAATTGTGGTTTTTAACAGACGATGGGGGGTCGGATCCGACGATTTAGTTGTTCCCGGGGTGTTTTTATTCATCGTTCACGCAATATGGTAAGAAAATTTCAAATATTCTAAATTAAGCGAAATTGATTGATTTACGTAGATGTTTTCGAAAAGGTGTTTTAAAATAAGTTGAGAAATTTCAATCTTAATCAATTTATGACGAGACTAAATTTGCAATCGCAACAAATCATAATAAGGATAAAAAAATAAACTTATCATTAATCAATAATAAATATTTGATTTTGTTTACAAGAATTCAAAGATAGTGAAAAAAAAAAGTGAGGTTAAGTTAACGTCAAATTTTAATAAACGTCATTTTTGACATTTAAAAAATTAAATTTTTTTCTAACCTCAATTTTTCTCCTTTTTAAACTGGGGTGGTCCATTTTATGTCGATTTCGATTGCACCCTCCCCCATAAAACACAAACTCGCCTCCTCCTCCTCCTCCAGCATCCACATCTCATTGCGATTGGGATTAGGGTGACTCACACAATCGGGAATCCCTTAAACACCTCAAGCTCAAGCAGACACCGCGGCGAAAGTCACTATTTCACCCCCATCTCGAAAACGTTATTACTTAAAGGGAAAAGGGACCCGATTATTATTGCGTCGAGGGTTTTTCGAAGACGAGTGCTGCAACGTTTAGGGGGAGCACGTTGTTTCATTCCAGAGGGGTTGTATATGCGATTTGTTAGAAGGGTTCTAAATAAATAACGTTACAAAAGAACTAAAACGATCCACTTCACATAATCAAGTTTAAACAAAAAATTTTTTTAGGTTATGTTACCATGGCAACCAATTTTTTGACACAAACTTAACCTCACTTTAAAATAATTTTTTTTAATTAAATTTGCATTTTAATTTAAAAAAATTCAACCCCGGAGAGTTTAATATGCAAATTAGTGCTGAAACTCTTTCGGGAGGGTCATTAAATGCCCCCGAGGGTCATCACAAATCATTGAAAGGTTATGGAAACTATTTCAGTATTAAGTGAATGTTTTCATGAAAAAAAATCAAGGTAAAGGTAAACACTCATTATCCGGGTAATAATTGTTTCAATTCCCATAGATAATAACGGTTAGTTATTAAAACCGTTAATGATAAAAACCAACGGTAGTAAAAATACTGTTTAATTACCGCTTAAACTGGAGTTATCACGCTTATTCGTAATTGAAAGCGATAAAAAAGGATCAATACCACCCTTAAAGTTGGCAAATAACGGGAAATCGCCAGATGTTCGATTTCTAACCCAATTCTGTCATAAAAATACGATGAAGTAGAATTTGTACTTGCAACAAATTAATTTTAAATCTCCTCTCTATTAATCATATTTAACTCATTTATCTAACCCATCCGAGGATCTTTTAACGAACTCCAGCACTAAAATAAACAAAAATCTCCACCTAAATCAACCACTTTTGGTGTTTTATTACTTTACCTTCACAAAATTTTTTTTTGGTGATATCTAAAACTCCCCACATGTTCTTCTAACTGTTTAAAACAACTTTCTAGCATCTCTTTCTTTTATAAAAGCAATTAACGCTTAAATTATCAAAAAATAAAAATAAATTGTTGCATTAGTTTTGACATATAAACATAACGAACAGAAATCTACTTTATCGGCTTTAATTAATTTTATTTATTTAATCATTGTAACTAAATTAATTAAGTTATAATTTCAAAATCCCCTTTTTTAAATCTTTATTAAATTCCCTGTTTTAATTTAATTTAAAAATAAAGTAACTTTTGGTGTTTTATAACTTTACCTCGACAAAAAATTATTTTTGATGATATCTAAAACTCCCCATTTGTTCTTTTAAATGTTCAAAACGCTTTTTTTACATCTCTTTCTTTTATAAAGCCAATTAACGCATAAATTATCAAAAAATAAAAATAAATTGTATTAATTTTGACATATAAACATAATGAAGAGAAATCTACTTTATCGGCATCAATTAATTTTATTTAATCATTATATTATCTAAATTAATTAAGTTATAATTTCAAAATCCCTTTTTAAATCTTTATTAAATTCCTTGTTTTAATTTAATTATTTAAATAATAATTAATTTTTTTTTGAAGTTGCTCAACCTGATTTTGACATAACCTCAAAAAGTTCACAACTAAAATGTTTTACCTAATTAAAAAGAATTTTTAATATTTAAACAAAGGATAAGAAAATAAATACAATAAAGACATTGTATGGTGTTGGCGAATAAAACGAAGTGCGATAAGGGGAGTTATTTCAACAGCATTCAATGTATATAAAGGTGCCCCGTAAACGGGGGGGAGTTTACGTGAGAACTTACTCGAGAAATCTGCACGTTTCCACCTGAAAATTTAATGCGAAATACGATCCTTACGGAGCACGGAATAAGATTTTCAGTACATTTAAAGCAATTCCGTTGATATGGCTTCGGAAATCCCTAAAGGAATGTTGAAACGATGATTAAAACTGGGTTAAATCAATACGTTGAGACGATATTAATTAGATTAAAATTATTAGAACGTACCCTAACGCTAACTTGTCACTTGTCATGTTGTCATATTTACATAACCTTACTTTTTTTTAAATTTTAGGTTAATAATTTTGTGTGTTCTACTTGGTTTGACTCATTTTGACATCACGCAAGACTCGATTAAATATCTTTTCGGATTTTTAATCGGATATCTCGCCGTGTTAATTATCTCGATGGTATCGGAAATTTGCATCATAGTCGTGTCGTTACGAGGAAACATCTTGGACACAAAACCGAGGGCCCCAATGCAATACATCCTATACGTGCGAGTCGTACTTTTGATAATCGAAGCTGGGTGGTTAGCGGCGGGAATCGTTTGGAGCGTTTACTTTTACCAAGATTGCCCGATGGAAATTACGAAACAATTCACTTTGGGGTTGGTCGTGTGCAATTGGTGCATTATAGTTTCGATTTTAGTGACGGTTTGGTGCACTTACGACGCCGCCGGCCGATCTTGGGTTAAAATGAAAAATTATCAACGATCGATGAGGGAATCGGAATCGAAGTTTCAATATAAACGGTCGGGGAGTAATCGGAATTGGAGACAAAGGTGATGATTCATCAAGAATCATCGTGTCGCTTAAAAATCGAAATTTTTTTTTATTCGGCGGGAAATTACTCAAATAAGCCGCTAGAAATTAAAAAAAAGTGCGGAAAAGTGTAAAACTTACTGAAAAATTAGTTTAAAGTTTCGACGTGACGTCATCGAGCGTGCTAACTATATACAGCGTGTTTATTAATTATCGTACCCGACGTTATCATCGAAAGTATGCAACCAATATCACAGTATTGGAATTGCAACGCGATGAAAATACCTAAAAAATTAAGGCGAGACCTAGAACTAGAAAGTATCGGGTTTAGCCGTGTGTCTGAAGACTAGTTCTAGTTTTGCACTATCATTAGACTTAGAAATATTCAACCAAACAATGCTTTTTTTTATTAAATTTGATATGAAAAATCATATAAAATGAGCCCAAACGCGATGGGGTTATCTTTAAAAACAATTTTTTTCAAAATGGCGGATTCTCAACGAGCGCCATCTACAAAATATTCGTTTTTGAAAATAACCCCGTCGAGTTTGGACTCATTTTAAAGGATTTTTCACTTTCTAATCTCATCAAAATAATTAAATCTAAAATAACTCGTCTTAAAAATTAGCCATTTTGAAAATATTTTAATTAATTTTTTTTAAATAACCACTTTTATTAAATTGGATTTGAAAAATCCTTTAAAATGAGCCCAAACACGATGGGGTTATCTTTAAAAATAATTTTTTCCAAAATGGCGGATTCTCAACGAGCGCCATCTACAAAATATTCGTTTTTGAAACTAACCCCGTCGAGTTTGGACTCATTTTAAAGGATTTTTCACTTCTAATCTTATCAAAATAATTAAATCTAAAATAACTCGTCTTAAGAATTAGCCATTTTGAAAATATTTTGATTACATTTTTTTATATAATTACTTTTATTAAATTGGATTTAAGAAATCCTTTAAAATGAGCCCAAACTCGATGGGATTATCTTTAAAAACAATTTTTTTCAAAATGGCGGATTCTCAACGAGCGCCATCTACAAAATATTCGTTTTTGAAAATAACCCCGTCGAGTTTGGACTCATTTTAAAGGATTTTTCACTTTCTAATCTCATCAAAATAATTAAATCTAAAATAACTCGTCTTAAAAATTAGCCATTTTGAAAATATTTTAATTAATTTTTTTTAAATAACCACTTTTATTAAATTGGATTTGAAAAATCCTTTAAAATGAACCCAAACATCATGGGGTTATCTTCAAAAACAATTTTTCGCAAAATGGCGGATTCTCAACGAGCGCCATCTACAAAATATTCATTTTTGAAAATAACCCCGTCGAGTTTGGACTCATTTTAAAGGATTTTTCATTTCTAATCTCATCAAAACAATTAAATCTAAAATAACCGGTCTTAAATATTAACCATTTTGAAAAAAATTTTTTTAAATAATCACTTTTATTAAATTAGATTTGAAAAATCCTTTAAAATGAGCCCAAACACGATGGGGTTATCTTTAAAAACAATTTTTTCCAAAATGGCGGATTCTCAACGAGCGCCATCTACAAAATATTCGTTTTTGAAAATAACCCCGTCGAGTTTGGACTCATTTTAAAGGACTTTTCATTTCTAATCTCATCAAAACAATTAAATTTAAAATAATAAAAATAATTTTGATGTTTTTTGAAAGAGTTTCGAAGAAAAAAACTTTCAGGTGTTAATGTCAACTTTAATTTTATTGTCATATTCGTAATCTTTATAAAATAACCTTTAAAATGAGTCCAAACATGACGTATTTATCTTAAAAAACAAAAAAGTTAGAATAAAAAGCGTTACACCTAAAGTTGGCAACAGTGAAGTTAGTAACAATATTAATACCAACCTTAATTTTTGATTTTTTTTATTATATTTTTGTTTTTGTGTCAAATTTTAAGACATTTCATAAAAATTAAAAATATATCAAAATGACGTTGACATTTCTAACCGGAAGTTAACCATAACTTCATTAATATTGAAGATAAATATGTCGTGTTTGTATTCATTTTAACGGTTTTTTAATGAAGATTACAAATATGTCAAAATTGACATTGACATTTCTAACCGGAAGTTGACCATAACTTCGTTAATATTGATGATAAATATGTCGTGTTTGTACTCATTTTAAAGGTTTTTTAATGAAGATTACAAATATGTCAAAATTGACAATTGGTTCTACACTTTTCCGAACTTTCTTTTTATTTTTATCGTGATTTTAAGCCACACGATTATTCTTGAATTTTTCCTTAATTTTTATGATATTAATTGAAATTGATTCAATTTTTAGAAAGGTGTTGAGGGCGTATCAAGACAGTTGGCACCAACGGTGTCGATTTTTGTTTTGTTGTATGCGAGGATCCGATAGAAATCGCAACTCATTCACCGACATCGCCCGATTATTATCCGATTTTTTTCGCGATTTAGACGTCGTTCCATCGGATGTGATCGCGGGGTTAGTACTTTTGAGGAAGTTTCAAAAAATCGAAAGGAGATCGATTATCGAACAGGTAATTAATTTTTACTAAGTTACTTAACCTTAATCAATTAATTGTCAAAAATTGACATATAAACATAAAATAACCTCAAAATAATTTTTTTAGCGTAAAAATGAAACTTACGAGTTTTTATCAGGAGTTCCGGTTACACCCCGCACGCAATTTCTCGCGTTACACGAAGGGGGCGATTTGGAGCTGTTCCAAACGGTGATACATTACGCGTATTTCGCGGTCGGAGCTTATGGTTGGCCGATATATGTGATGACGGAGAAATTGGGGGCTTGCAAATTATGCAGCAACTTCGGATGTTGTTGCGTCCCGTGTCAAAAACGAGATAATATCGAAATAATCGAGGATAATTGTTGCGCGTGTAATTACGCGGCTTTGGAAAAGATAATTTCGAAGCGGGGAAATATCGAGGTGATTTACGCGACTTATCACGTCGATGTGGGTGAAACCCCTTTTTATGTGGCTTTGGATTTCGATAGGAAGAAGGTGGTTGTTAGTATTCGGGGTACTTTGAGTATGAAGGTGATTAAATAAAATTTAATTTTAATTTCATTTTGAGGTTATGATTTTTTTAGGATATTTTAACTGATTTAAACGCGGAATCTGAGACTTTACCATTGGATCCCCCCCAAGAGGAGTGGTTGGGGCATAAAGGGATGGTCCAAGCTGCTCAATATATTTTGGATAAATTACGCGGGGAGAATTTGTTGGAGAAGGCGTTCGATTATTCTGTGGAGAGAGGAACGAAGGAGTTCCAATTGGTGTTGGTTGGGCACTCTTTAGGAGCGGGGACTGCGTGTATATTGGGGATTTTGTTGCGACAAGAGTACCAAGATCTTTTATGTTATTGTTATTCCCCCCCTGGGGGGTTATTAAGCATGCCGGCGGTGGAGTACACGAAATCTTTTATTATTTCTGTTGTGATTGGGAAAGATGTCGTCCCCAGGATTGGGTTGCATCAAATGGAAGCGTTGAGATCCGACTTAATTAATGCGATTAAACGGAGCGTTGATCCAAAAGTAATTTAATATAATATTAAAGTACTATAAGCAACTTCCGGTTTGAAATGTCAACGTCATTTTGATATATTCGTAATCTTTATAAAATTACCTTTAAAATGAGTCCAAACACGACGTACTTATCTCAAAAAACAAAAAAGTTAGAATAAAAAACGTTTCACCCGAAGTTAGCAACAATATTAATACCAACCTTAATTTTTGATTTTTTTTTATTACAAATATGTCAAAATTGATTTTGACATTTCTAACCGGAAGTTGTAATGCTGAAGATAAACATGTCGTGTTTGTATTCATTTTGAAGGTTTTTTAATGAAGATTACAAATATGTCAAAATTGACGTTGACATTTCTAACCGGAAGTTGACCATAATTTCATTAATATTGAAGATAAATATGTCGTGTTTGTACTCATTTTAAAAGATTTTTAATGCAGATTACAAATATGTCAAAATTGACGTTGACGTTTCTAACCGGAAGTTGACCATAACTTCATTAATATTGAAGATAAATATGTCGTGTTTGTACTCATTTTAAAGGTTTTTTAATGAAGATTGCAAATATGTCAAAATTGAGGTTGACATTTTAATCCTAAAGTTAGTTATCATATAATAGACAAATGGACAACGTCCTTATTAAAAAAACTTTCTTAAAAAGATTTTTAAAGATGTCAAAAAATCTCCCAAGTTGACCAGGCATTTCTTGGATATTGAAAAATTACTAAAAAGTGTCTGAAGGCTTTCTGGACAGTTATAAAGTTTGTTTAAAGCATTTTAAAGTCGTCAAAACGTATTTAAACACTTTCTGGACATTCATGAAGGCACCCAGAGGGTTTTTAAAGATGTCAAAAAGTGTCTAAAAGCTTTCTGGACAATTCTAGAAGCATTCTAATGATTTCTATAGTCGTGATAACGTATTCTCAAGCTTCTTAACGATTACTATAGTCGTCAAAAAGTATCCAAACGCTTTCTAATGATTTCTATAATCGTCAAAAGGTATCTAGAAGATATTTAATGATTTCTAAAGTAGTTAAAAATTGTCCTGAAACTTTCTAATGATTGCCATAAATATCAAAAAGTATCTAAATGATTTCCAGAAGATTTTAAAAGATGTCCAAAAGAGTTTAGCTAGTTTCTAATGATTCCTGTAGTTGTCAAAAAGTGTCTAAAAGCTTTCTAATTATTTCTGTAGTCGTTAAAAACTTTCCAGATAGTGTCTGATGATATCTATAGTCGTCAAAACGTGTCCTGAAGATATTTAATGATTTCTATAGTGGTTAAAAAGTGTCCAGAAACTTTCTAATGATATCTATAGTCGTCAAAAGGTGTCCTGAAGATATTTAATGGTTTCTATAGTAATTAAAAATTGTCCTGAAACTTTCTAATGATTACCATGAATATCAAAAAGTATCTAAACGCTTTTTGGATAATTATAAAGACTGCCAGAAGGTTTTAAAAGATGTCCAAAAGTGTCTAGATAGTTCCTAATAGTTCCTATAGTTGTTAAAAAGTGTCCAAAAGCTTTCTAATTATTTCTGTAGTCGGTAGAAACTGCCCAGATGATGTCTGATGACATCTATGGTGGTCAAAAAGTGTCCAGAAAGCGTCTAATGATATCTATAGTCGTTAAAAAGTGTCCGGAAGATATTTATTGATTTCTATAGTAGTTAAAAAGTGTACAGAAGCTTTCTAATGATTTCTATAGTCGTCAAAAGGTACCCAGAAGGTATTTAATGATTTCTATAGTAGTTAAAAATTGTCCTGGAACTTTCTAATGATTGCCATAAATATCAAAAAGTATCTAAACGCATTTTGGATAATAATAAGGATTGCCAGAAGATTTTAAAAGATGTCCAAAAGTGTTTAGATAGTTTCTAATGGTTCCTAAAGTTGTCGAAAAGTATCTAGAAGGTGTCTAATGATATCTGCAATCGACAGAAACTGTCCAAATGGTGTTTAATGATATCTATAGTCGTCAAAAATTGTCCAAATGTTGTCTAATGATATCTACAATCGTTAAAAATTGTCCAAATGTTGTCTAATGATTTCTATAGTAGTTAAAAATTTTCTGGAAGCTTTCTAATTATTTCTATAGTCGTTAAAAACTGTCCAAATGGTGTCTAATGGTATTTATAGCCGTCAAAAAGTGCTTAGAAGGTGTTTAATAATATCTACAATCGTTAAAAATTGTCTAAATGGTGTCTAAGGATATCTACAGTCGTCAAAAGGTGTCCAGAAAATATTTAATGATTTCTATAGTAGTTAAAAAGTGTCCAGAAGCTTTCTAATTATTTCTATAGTCATTAAAAATTGTCCAGATGGTGTCTGATGATATCTATAGTAGTCAAAAAGTGTCCAGAACTTGTCTAATGATATCTACAATCGATAAAAACTGTCCCAATGGTGTTTAGTCATATTTATAGCCGTCAAAAAGTGCTTAGAAGATGTTTAATGATATCTACAATCGTTAAAAATTGTCTAAATGGTGTCTAATGATATCTACAGTCGTCAAAAGGTGTCCAGAAAATATTTAATGATTTCTATGGTAGTTAAAAATTTTCTGGAAGCTTTCTAATTATTTCTATAGTCGTTAAAAACTGTCCAAATGGTGTATAATGATATCTATAGCCGTCAAAAAGTGTCCAGAACTTGTCTAATGATATCTACAATCGATAAAAACTGTCCAAATGGTGTCTAATGATATTTATAGCCGTCAAAAAGTGCTTAGAAGGTGTTTAATGATATCTACAATCGTTAAAAATTATCTAAATGGTGTCTAATGATATCTACAGTCGTGAAAAGGTGTCCAGAAGATATTTAACGATTTCTATAGTAGTTAAAAAGTGTCCAGAAGCTTTCTAATTATTTCTATAGTCATCAAAAATTGTCCAGATGGTGTCTGATGATATCTATAGTATTCAAAAAGTGTCCAGAAAGTGTCTAATGATATCTATAATCGTCAAAATGTTTCAAAATATTTTTATTGAACTAAAACTAGAACTAAAAACATTCAAGGTTAATGCTTTTTATTATCTTTTCTGATTTTATTGACGACATTGACTACTTTAAATCATTGTGGCAGTAAGTTTTCTTTGAATTCTTCCATTTTAGTGGAATAATGATAAAAAACATAAATTTTTTGGTATTAATTTTTCTATTTGTTTTGCATTCTACTTAACTAATAAATTAATTTTTAGTGGAAAACGATATCTTGCAGCATTTGTTGCAATTACGAGCCAACCTCGGCTGTTCAACTTTCAACAGACGAGCTCCACGTCCAAGAATACATGACATCGAAGAATCACGCGAGGAATTTGGGGCTACACCCTTCCGATAGCAGTATAGCTTTGACCTCGCATAATCCCTTGTACCCCCCTGGAAGGATTATTCACGTCGTGAGGCACCACCCGACAAAAGGAGAGTAAGTAATGAATTAATTAATTAATTTGGATTAATTTAATTAATTTTTTAGACAAAAGTATGAAAATCAATGGAGGTAATTTGTAGATTCATAGATTTTTGCATGTACTTAGTGCATTTTCAGTACTTTTGTTCCAATAATCCCTCGAATTTAGATAACAATCTTATTTTTGTGATTTAGGCAGAAATTATCGAAGAAAGAACCCGTTTATCAGGCGTTATGGGCCCAAAATACCGATTTTGATGAAGTTTTAATCTCCCCGGTGATGATACAGGATCATATGCCCGATAAGGTCGTCGACGCGCTTAATAAGGTACAAAATATCGTTGGGTCAAGACAATACTTGCTCAGTACCAGTAGAGATTAGTTAAATTAGATAGAACTCGACTCTTAAAAATACTTACGACGATAAATACGATGACGTTTAGAGCAAGAAAGAATATTCAGGTATCGATTTAATCCAGATGTTCCTATTAATTTGTTACCAAACCTTGATTTTAATTTATTTTTATTTATGATTAAACCCAGTTTATTTCGTTAGAAATAGTTTTATTTCAATCCTAACCTCACTTTTTTTTTGACATTTCTTATAAATTTTAATACCAACCTCAAAATAAAAAAAATTTGAATTAAAAAAGTGTTCCGGGACCATCTTTCCCTTATTTTCTTTCTTTTTGCATTTTCCGAGGTGGACATCTCCATTTGGTACGGTCAGGAGCCCCCCAATTCACCGCTTCGGACCGTCCCGAGAGACGTGAGGTACAAATTAAAAAAATAACCTCAAAAAAAAAAGTAATCTACTTTATCTTGCATGCGCATTTTTCATTTCACCACCACGAGATGGCGCAACAAATCAATAAATTTAACCTAATTTTATCCTAACCCTTAAAAGGTCGTTTTGTGATTTAAAAACAGAAAAAAATTGATTTTAAGGTTGTAACAACGATGGGGCCAAGAAAACCGAGTCGGATCGCGTCGATTTCGCAAGAAATCGACACCCAAAAAGAGGAGGAATTTTTAGCACCAACAACGACGAAGATCTACTTGGAAACATCTTTCGCGGCGAGTTCCTCATCAAGTTTAACAAACGGGTTGTGTTCAACGAGCGAATCTTCCCCTTTACCGCTAGCGAACGTTATTTCGTTGCTGAATCAACGAAAAAGTTTCGAAATAATCAAAAAATCGAAATCGAGGTTAAGTTTAAACGTGATTAGGACGCTAAATAACGAAAACAATAAAAGAATCGATTTTATCCACGACGATTGGTACGGATTAGCCCCTTTAGCAAGTCCTGAGAGTTTATCGGAAGTCTCGAGTATCGCCTCATCGAAAGCAAGCTTCCAAATTAACATGGAAAAGGCCGAGATGTTGCTAAAAACACCTCTGGTTATGAGGAGGACTCCAAAAATTATTAATAATTTAAGTACGTGTGCTGATGATATCAGAAATGTGAGGTATTTCCAAAAATTGGGGCAATTATCGCGACATTTGAGGAGACCGAGCCAAAACGGGAGTCCAATCACAAATTCGAGTAGTAGCAATTTAAGTTTTCAATCAGCGAATAGTAATAAATCAGAAAAATCGGAAACTGTGGATGTAATTGCCAAAAAAATGAGTTCGGATGAGTACCAAAGCGCTGAAGAAATCTTAGAACAAGTTATTGAAACAGCGGGGTGCTCAGAATTCTTTTCGGGGGCCCCAAAAATTAACCTCGAAGATACAGACGTGCTCCCAAACTTTGCAATCGATTTAAATTTGTCCATTGAGAATCGTTCGGAACAATTCCTTCAAATTTCGAGTAAATTGGCGACGACGCAAACTTTTCTAACCGAACCTAAACCGATTTTAGAAGTGAAAAACGTTACCTTTAACCCGGAAGTCGTTAATATCGAATCGAGCCCGAAGAAACCGAAAAAACCCGACAAGTGGAATTTGAAGTTGCCGACTAAATCGAAAAAGATTAAAGCCGAAATTTTGACTCTACCGACCAGTTCGAAATCAAATTTAGAACCCAAAACGATTTTGTGCGTGAAAAAACAAGATTCGCCCAATTTTGTACGGAGGAAAAAGTACGTTTATCCAACCGTCGATTTACCATTGGCCAAAGACGAGAGTAGTTTATAACGATCGATTCGAATAATAATTAAGATAATAACGTTTTGTTATTATTAGTCGATTCGATTTTAATATAGCGCTCGTCGTGTAATTGTGATAATAATAAAAAATGAGGTTATGATTTAATTTAATTTTGATTTAATTTGATTTAAATTGTTAATAGGGTCCAAAAATTTGTTTATTTCGAATTAATTCTTTATCTGTGTTTAAATTTAATTAAAAAAAACTTGTAATAATAATAATAATATTAATAATTTAATAAAAAAATAACATTTTGAGGTTATGTGAAGAGATCTGTCAAACGTCATTTAAATAAATTTTAAAGAATTATTATTGATAATAACGATAAAATGGATTAAAAATAAATAATTCGTTAATAAATTAAGGATTTTTAATCGATAAATTCCAATAAATTGATTTCAATGAAATTCGAAAAAAATTAATAAAATAAAGGTTCAAAAACTTACTTATTAAACGGGGATGTTCTAATTTTGGGATTTAATCACTGGGAACTTAAACAAATAGAGAAAAAACTATAAAGAATAATAAAAATGCGCTTAATTAAATTGAGGTTATGTACGTTGTGGTTAATAAACACGATTATGGCGACATCTCTTGACAACAGAAAAAAATTATCATTTTTTAAATTAAAATAACGTACCAATAAAAAATATAAATAATCTTCTACCTCCAATATTAGCTCTAGTGAAAACTAGAACTAACCCTAGAATTAGAAAATTCCGGGTTTAAAAAATTATTTTTGTAATTTCATTAATGAACGTATCCTAAAGGATACGTTCTATATCTATTGGACTCAAATATATTTCCTGTCTCGTCTGAATGTTTCTTGAATCATTTGAACTAACTTAAACTTTAATTTTATTATTATATTCGTAATCTTTATAAAATAACCATCAAAATGAGTCCAAACATGACGCACTTATCTCGAAAAACAAAAAAGTTAGAATAAAAAACATTAAACCCGAAGTTAGCAACAATGAAGATTTTCAAATATTAATACCAACCTTAATATTTATTTTTTTTTATTATATTTTCGTTTTTGTGACAAATTTTAAAACATTTTATAAAAATTGAGAATATATCAAAATGACCTTGACATTTCAAACCGGAAGTTGACCATAACTTCATTAATATTGAATTCATTTTAAAAGTTTTTTAATGAAGACTACAAATATGTCAAAATTGAGGTTGACATTTCAAACATTCACGGTGTCCTTTTATCATGTATTCTTTATTAAAAAACATTCTTAAAAAGATTTTTAAAAATGTCAAAAAGTTTCCCAAGTACTAAAAAGTGTCTAAAGGCTTTCTGGACAGTTATAAAGTTTGTCTAATGTCGTCAAAACGCTTTCTGGACATTTATGAAGACATCCAGAGAGTTTTTAAAGATGTCAAAAAGTGTAGAGACGCTATCTAATGAATGCCATGAATATCAAAAGGTGTCTAAATGCTTTCTGAACAATTATAAAGAATCTCCGAAGATTTTAAAAGATGTCTAAAAGTGTTTGGAATGTTCCTAATGATTAATATAGTCGTTAAAAAGTGTCCAGAAGGATCCTAATAAACTCTAACTAATTAAAAGTTGTCTAAAGGTTTTCTAACGTTACCAATAATTATCAAAAAGTGTTTAAACGCCTCCTTTTTATTAATGGAGGATTTTTGTTGATGTCACAAAGGGTTCAGAACCTTTCTAACGATTTTGCCTAACACCAAAAAGTATTTAAATGCTTTCTGGACGTTTATTTTTATTATTGGGAGATTTTTGTTGATGTCATAAAGGGTCCAAAATCTTTCTAGCGATTTTTCTTAATACCAAAAAGTATCTAAACGGTTTTTGGATAATTATAACTATTGCCAGAAGATTTTAAAAGATGTCTTAAGTGTCTAGATAGTTTCTAATTATTTCTATAGTCGTTAAAAACTGTTCAAATGGTATCTATAGCTGTCAAAAAGAGTCCAGAAGGTGTCTAATGATATCTACAATCGATAAAAACTGTCCAAATGGTGTCTAATTTTAAAGTTTTTTTAATGAAGACTACAAATATGTCAAAATTGAGGTTGACATTTAAACCTGAAGTTAGTTGTGATATAATAGACAACTTCAAGGTGTTATTTCATGATTTATACTTTTTTAAAAAACTATATTTACTGATAACTTCCGCAACTCTCTCTGCTTTCCTATTATATGTGGACTCTAGAGATCCTTGGAGAGTAAAGTTCCTTTATTGACCTTTTTAGTGACTTTTTTGTTTGCCTTGTTGAACCAACTGATTGCACCAAGTCCAACTTTTGCAAAAGACAACATGTAAACTGATCTTAGTATGACTCTGATTATCTCAATATCAGAATAAGGTGATTTATCAGAATTTCGAGCGTTTGAGTTATAGAAAGTTGTGCAAATTTCATATAAAAAAATAAAGTTGTTAAAAATTATAGTACATTTGGCAACACTGCTTGACACTTTCTTAAAATTATTTTTTTAGGTTATGTTAATTAAATAAATAACTTAATTATTTTATTTAGTGTATTAATAAAAGTAATAAAAGAACAGAAAATAGCTACCCTAAATAAATAAATAATAATAAAAAAGATGATGTGTCAATTAAAATTACAAAAAAAGATCCCTTTCATTCTTATAAAAGTACAAAATTGTGAGTTATAATATCAATAAAATGATTTTAGCAATCATCGAGAATTCCTTTTTTTCTAGGCCAATCAATTTTTTTCGGATTAACATTTTCTTTATCTCCTAAATTTACATCTCCGGTTTTTGGAGTTTCAATTCCAAACGGGCTATACAACTTAGTCGGAGTCCTCCCCAAAATCGACCTAACCCTAGGAGTGGAACAATTCGGAGTCATCGGACCCTCCTCCAAAATTTGTCTACGCCTCGTAGAACTTTTAAACCTCTAAAAACAATCAATTAAACACCTTTTTGGATTACCACATCTAAACTTACTTGAGAAAAGTTTCCAATACTAATCCGAACGTTACTAAACGTTTTCGAAATCTTTTCGGCACTCGTTCTTAACACCTTTCGAGTATCGTTCAAGGTGAGAACGGATAAAACACTTTTATCGCCACTTTTCGATCCCATTTCCGGATCTTTCTCGAATTTATCTTGCAATTTCTTTCTACAGTTTAATTTCGAGTGACCGTTTGATGAAAAAACGTTCTTGTGGAACGTGAATGACTCACTTTTATTATCCGGACGCATTTTTATTATGCTTTTGTATTTTTTTATTTAATTGCGTACGTCAAATCACCTCGAAGAACCGTTATGACGTTTAAATAACCTTTAAAAACATGTTTTGTGTTGTCGTCGTAGTTACCTTGACACTAACGACATCTATTGACATAAAATTTTTATTGTATAAAAATTTATATTTAATGATTTAAATAAATCCTTTTTTAATAAATCAAATTTATTTAAAAAAATAAATTTGTGTTAATGTTTAAATAACTTTTTAAAACATGTTTTGTGTCACACTTTGACACTAGCGACATCTATTGAGAAAAATTCTTTATCCCAAAACAATAAATATTAATATTTATTTAATTGTATTTGGTGATTTTTAATTAATTAATTTTGTTACTAATTAAACCCTTTTGTAATAAATCAAATTTATTTAAACAAATAAATTTGTGATAACGTTTAAATAACCCTTAAAAATATCCTCTCTGCTGTCGTCGTTATCTTGACACTAGCGACATCTATTGAGAAAATTTTGTTATCCCAAAACAATAAATATTAATATTTATTTAATAATTGTATTTGGTAATTTTTAATTAATTTTGTAACTAATTAAATCCTTTTTTAATAAATCAAATTTATTTAAACAAATAAATTTGTGATAACGTTTAAATAATCTTTAAAAATATGCTTTGTGCTGACGTCGTTACCTTGACACTAGCGACATCTATTAAAAAAAATTGATTGACCCAAATCAATAAATATTAATACTGATTTAGTTATATTTGGTGATTGTATTATTAATTAACTGCTTTTTTAATAAATCAAAAGTATTTAAAAAAATAAATTTGTATTAACGTTTAAATAACCTTTAAAAATATGCTTTTGTCATGTCTTCGTGACACTAACGACATCTATCGAGAAAATCTTTTTATCCCAAAACAATAAATATTAATATTTATTTAATTGAATTTGGCGATTTTTAATCAATTAATTTTGTTATTAATTAAATCCTTTTTTAATAAATCAAATTTATTTTGAAAAATAAAATGACGTTTAAATAACCTTTTAAAACATATTTTGTGATGTTTCGTTACCTTGACACTAGCGACATCTATTGAGAAAATTTTGTTATCCCAAAACAATAAATATTAATATTTAATTGTATTTGATGATTATTAATTAATCAATTTTGTTATTAATTAAATCCTTTTTTAATAAATCAAAAGTATTTAAAAAAATAAATTTGTATTAACGTTTAAATAACCTTTAAAAATATGTTTTTGTCATGTCTTCGTCACCTTGACACTAACGACATCTATCGAGAAATTTTTTTTATCCCAAAACAATAAATATTAATATTTATTTAATTGAATTTGTTATTAATCAATCATTAATTTTGTTATTAATTAAATCCTTTTTTAATAACTCAAATTTATTTTAAAAAATAACTTTGTGATGACGTTTAAATAACCTTTTAAAACATATTTTGTGATGTCTCGTTACCTTGACACTAGCGACATCTATTGAGAAATTTTTTTATCCCAAAACAATAAATGTTAATATTTATTTAATTGTATTTGGTGATTTTTAATTAATTAATTTTGTTACTAATTAAATCTCTTTTTAATAAATAAAATTTATTTAAACAAATAAATTTGTGATAACGTTTAAATAACAATTCAAAATATGCCGTCGTTACCTTGACACTAGCGACATCTATCGAAAAAAAATTTATTGTCCCAAAACAATAAATATTAATACTGATTTAATTATATTTGGTGATTTTTAATTAATTAATTGTATTATTAATTAAATCCGTTTTTAATAAATCAAATTTATTTAAATAAATAAATTTGTAATGATGACGTTTAAATGACAGTTCATGTTAATTAATTACCGACATGTCAGCGACAGCTCTAACCTATGAGGGTAATAAAAATAAGCCCAATTTTAATAATTTCGCCCCTAATTCCTATTAATTAACCCTTACTTTATCGCCCCATCTAATTTTTATCTAAAATTACCATAAGATTTCCCTAAAAATCGCCTAAAACAAAAACATAACCTCAATCAAAATTTTCTTTCCTTTTTAGATCTTCGCAAGCAAGCGAGACACTTAGAAAACGATATCGATTTAAAATTAGTGGCTTTTAGTAAATTAGGCGCTGGAATAAACACTCCTCATGCCCACAACACGGCCGATACAGTCCCATTATTATCTGGGGAAGATACTTTTGAGGCTATGTCATTGGAAATCGAGCAATTACTCAAAAAATTGACCCAAATTAATGAGAGGATGTCGGAACAGCCCGTTTCGGGGGCTGGGATGCTTCACACGTTGCATCGGCACAAAGATATCCTCACGGATTTATCGAGAGATTACCGAAAAATCAATTCGCAACACGAAACGAGAAGGGAAAGAGAGGATTTATTAAGAACTTCCAAAAACGATAGTTTTCGAACTGAGGGGGTTAATCGAAGGGACTTATACACGAAAGAAAACACCCATTTATATAAGTAAGTTGTTATTTTTGTGCGATTTTTGTTAATAAATTAGTTTTAGCTCCGATCGGTTGGTTAATGATCAAATATCGATAGCGATGGAGACTCGGGAACACCTTTCCGGTCAACGGCAAACTTTAAAGCGGTTGCAAACGAGGTTTAATGACGTCTCAAATCGGTTTCCGATGATTAACAGTTTGATTCAACGGATTAATATGAGGAAAAAGAGGGATTCGGTTATCGTTGGGTTGGTCGTTGGTGTTTGTACCTTGTTGATTTTATTTTATGCGTTTCATTAATTAAGTTTTAAACGATTTATTATTAATTATACTTTATTTTTTAATGCGGAGGAGCTAAATGAAAAGTTACGTTTAAATAAAATATCACCAAGTTGCATATTTTTATTGAATTAAAACTAAAACTAACACTAGATTAGAAAAAAATTTTCAGGGGTTAATGTTAACTTTAATTTTATTATTATATTCGTAATCTTTATGAAATAAGCTTTAAAATGAGTCCAAACACGACGCATTTATCTTAAAAAACAAAAAAGTTAGGTTAAAAAACGTTACACCTAAAGTTGGCAACAATTAATACCAACCTTAATTTTTGATTTTTTTTATTAGATTTTAGTTTTTGTGGCAAATTTTAAGACATTTCATAAAAATTAAGAATATGTCAAAATTGACGTTGACATTTCGAACCGGAAGTTGACCATAACTTCATTAATATTGAAAATAAATATGTCGTGTTTGTATCCATTTTGAAGGTTTTTTAATGAAGATTACAAATATGTCAAAATTGAGGTTGACGTTTCTAACCGGAAGTGAACCTTAACTTCATTAATATTGAAGATATATATGTCGTGTTTGTATTCATTTTAAAGTAAATTTTATCAAAACAATTAAATCTAAAATAACCCGTTTTAAATATTAGTTAGCCATTTTGAAAATATTTTAATTAATTTTTTTTTAAATAATTACTTTTATTAAATTGGATTTGAAAAATTCTTTAAAATGAGCCCAAACATCATGGGGTTATCTTTAAAAATATTTTTTTTCAAAATGGCGGACTCTCAACGAGCGCCATCTACGAAATATTCGTATTTGAAAATAACCCCGTCGAGTTTGGACTCATTTTAAAAGATTTTTCATTTCTAATCTCATCAAAACAATTAAATTTAAAATAACCTGCCTAAAAATAATTTTGGCGTTTTTTGAAACAGTTTCGAAGAAAAAAAATTTCAGGGGTTAATGTTAACTTTAATTTTATTGTTATATTCGTAATCTTTATAAAATAAGCTTTAAAATGAGTCCAAACATGACGTATTTATCTTAAAAAACAAAAAAGTTAGGTTAAAAAACGTTACACCTAAAGTTGGCAACAATGAAGATAGTAACAATATTAATACCAACCTTAATTTTAGATTTTTTTTTATTCCATTTTTGTTTTTGTGTCAAATTTTAAGACATTTCATAAAAATTAAAAATATATCAAAATGACGTTGACATTTCTAACCGGAAGTTGACCATAACTTCGTTAATATTGAAGTTTTACACTAGCACTACCACTAGAACTAACACTAAACCTAGAACTAGAAATATTCAGGTTTAGCCGTGTGTTTAAAAATAATTTTGGTGTTTTTTGAAAGAATTTCAACGCACGGCTAAGAAAAAAATTTTCAGGGATTAACGTTAATTTCAATTTTGTTATTATATTCGTAATCTTTGTAAAATAACCTTTAAAATGAACCCAAACATGACGTATTTATCTCAAAAGACAAAAAAGTTAGAACAAAAAAACATTAAACACGAAGTTGGCAACAATGAAGATAGCAATTTAATTTTAAAATATTAATACCAACCTTAATTTTCGATTTTTTTTATTATATTTTCGTTTTTGTGGCAAATTTTAAGACATTTTATAAAAATTAAGAATATATCAAAATGACGTTGACATTTCTAACCGGAAGTGACCATAACTTCGTTAATATTGAAGATAAATATGTCGTGTTTGTATTCATTTTAAAGGTTTTTTAATGAAGATTACAAATATGTCAAAATTGACGTTGACATTTTAAACCTGAAGTTAGTTGTCATATAATAGACAAATGGATAACTTCATGGTGTTTTTTCATGATGTATTTTTTATTAAAAAAACTTTCTTAAAAAGATTTTTAAAGATGTCAAAAAGTCTCTCAAGTTGACCAGGCCTTCCTAAAGAATTGAAAAATTACTAAAAAGTGTCCAAAGGTTTTCTGGACAGTTATAAAGTTTGTCTAAAGTATTTTAAAATCGTCAAAACGTATTTATACGCATCCTGGACATTTATGAAGGTATCCAGAGGGTTTTTAAAGATGTCAAAAAGTGTCTAAAAGCTTCCTGGACAGTTCTAGAAGCTGTCTAATGATTTATATACCCGTTCAAAAGTATCCTCAAGCTTCTTAATGATTACTATAGCCATCAAAAAGTGTCCAGAAGATGTCTAATGATATCTAGAATCGATAAAAACTGTACAAATGGTGTCTAATGATATCTATAGGCGTCAAAAAGTGCTCAGAAGGTGTCTANCAAAGGGTTCAGAACCTTTCTAACGATTTTGCCTAACACCAAAAAGTATTTAAATGCTTTCTGGACGTTTATTTTTATTATTGGGAGATTTTTGTTGATGTCATAAAGGGTCCAAAATCTCTCTAGCGATTTTCCTTAATACCAAAAAGTATCTAAACGGTTTCTGGATAATTATAACGATTGCCAGAAGATTTTAAAAGATGTCTTAAGTGTCTAGATACTTTCTAATTATTTCTATAGTCGTTAAAAACTGTTCAAATGGTATCTATAGCTGTCAAAAAGAGTCCAGAAGGTGTCTAATGATATCTACAATCGATAAAAACTGTCCAAATGGTGTCTAATTTTAAAGTTTTTTTAATGAAGACTACAAATATGTCAAAATTGAGGTTGACATTTAAACCTGAAGTTAGTTGTGATATAATAGACAACTTCAAGGTGTTATTTCATGATTAACTCTCTCTGCTTTCCTATTATATGTGGACTCTAGAGATCCTTGGAGAGTAAAGTTCCTTTATTGACCTTTTTAGTGACTTTTTTGTTTGCCTTGTTGAACCAACTGATTGCACCAAGTCCAACTTTTGCAAAAGACAACATGTAAACTGATCTTAGTATGACTCTGATTATCTCAATATCAGAATAAGGTGATTTATCAGAATTTCGAGCGTTTGAGTTATAGAAAGTTGTGCAAATTTCATATAAAAAAATAAAGTTGTTAAAAATTATAGTACATTTGGCAACACTGCTTGACACTTTCTTAAAATTATTTTTTTAGGTTATGTTAATTAAATAAATAACTTAATTATTTTATTTAGTGTATTAATAAAAGTAATAAAAGAACAGAAAATAGCTACCCTAAATAAATAAATAATAATAAAAAAGATGATGTGTCAATTAAAATTACAAAAAAAGATCCCTTTCATTCTTATAAAAGTACAAAATTGTGAGTTATAATATCAATAAAATGATTTTAGCAATCATCGAGAATTCCTTTTTTTCTAGGCCAATCAATTTTTTTCGGATTAACATTTTCTTTATCTCCTAAATTTACATCTCCGGTTTTTGGAGTTTCAATTCCAAACGGGCTATACAACTTAGTCGGAGTCCTCCCCAAAATCGACCTAACCCTAGGAGTGGAACAATTCGGAGTCATCGGACCCTCCTCCAAAATTTGTCTACGCCTCGTAGAACTTTTAAACCTCTAAAAACAATCAATTAAACACCTTTTTGGATTACCACATCTAAACTTACTTGAGAAAAGTTTCCAATACTAATCCTAACGTTACTAAACGTTTTCGAAATCTTTTCGGCACTCGTTCTTAACACCTTTCGAGTATCGTTCAAGGTGAGAACGGATAAAACACTTTTATCGCCACTTTTCGATCCCATTTCCGGATCTTTCTCGAATTTATCTTGCAATTTCTTTCTACAGTTTAATTTCGAGTGACCGTTTGATGAAAAAACGTTCTTGTGGAACGTGAATGACTCACTTTTATTATCCGGACGCATTTTTATTATGCTTTTGTATTTTTTTATTTAATTGCGTACGTCAAATCACCTCGAAGAACCGTTATGACGTTTAAATAACCTTTAAAAACATGTTTTGTGTTGTCGTCGTAGTTACCTTGACACTAACGACATCTATTGACATAAAATTTTTATTGTATAAAAATTTATATTTAATGATTTAAATAAATCCTTTTTTAATAAATCAAATTTATTTAAAAAAATAAATTTGTGTTAATGTTTAAATAACTTTTTAAAACATGTTTTGTGTCACACTTTGACACTAGCGACATCTATTGAGAAATTCTTTTTATCCCAAAACAATAAATATTAATATTTATTTAATTGTATTTGGTGATTATTAATTAATTAATTTTGTTACTAATTAAACCCTTTTGTAATAAATCAAATTTATTTAAACAAATAAATTTGTGATGAAGTTTAAATAACCTTTAAAAATATACTTTGTGCTGTCGTCGTTATTTTGACACTAGCGACATCTATTGAGAAAAATTCTTTATCCCAAAACAATAAATATTAATATTTATTTAATTGTATTTGGTGATTATTAATTAATTAATTTTGTTACTAATTAAACCCTTTTGTAATAAATCAAATTTATTTAAACAAATAAATTTGTGATGAAGTTTAAATAACCTTTAAAAATATACTTTGTGCTGTCGTCGTTATTTTGACACTAGCGACATCTATTGAGAAAAATTCTTTATCCCAAAACAATAAATATTAATATTTATTTAATTGTATTTGGTGATTTTTAATTAATTAATTTTGTTACTAATTAAACCCTTTTGTAATAAATCAAATTTATTTAAACAAATAAATTTGTGATAACGTTTAAATAACCCTTAAAAATATCCTCTCTGCTGTCGTCGTTATCTTGACACTAGCGACATCTATTGAGAAAATTTTGTTATCCCAAAACAATAAATATTAATATTTATTTAATAATTGTATTTGGTAATTTTTAATTAATTTTGTAACTAATTAAATCCTTTTTTAATAAATCAAATTTATTTAAACAAATAAATTTGTGATAACGTTTAAATAATCTTTAAAAATATGCTTTGTGCTGACGTCGTTACCTTGACACTAGCGACATCTATTAAAAAAAATTGATTGACCCAAATCAATAAATATTAATACTGATTTAGTTATATTTGGTGATTGTATTATTAATTAACTGCTTTTTTAATAAATCAAAAGTATTTAAAAAAATAAATTTGTATTAACGTTTAAATAACCTTTAAAAATATGCTTTTGTCATGTCTTCGTGACACTAACGACATCTATCGAGAAAATCTT